GGCGGGAGAGTTTCGACCTTCACGCTCAGACTTCTTACTCGTGAAAGCCAATTTTTTTTCCGTATTATATTAATTTCGGCAGCTGATTTTGTTTTGCAATTCTTCTCCGGCCGAAGTCACTTGTGATGTTTCTCAGGCGCTTGTGTATCGTGGCAAGTATTTCTTCCCTTTTTATAGGAGTCGAAAATCTTTTCTCAAGGTGTCTCGATAATTGTTTTTTCAGTCCTTCCGCGAAGCAGTCCCAATCCGCGGACGATCGAAAACTATATTCCCAATTTTCACTTTCGTGCGCGTCAAACAGTTTTAAACAGTTTTTGTTTTTGTTTTAAAGCCCACTCCCTTTTTATGGCGAGGCGATTGCAGTGACCAGAAGTCACCAAGAATCGTCATTGCCAGACTCTGGACCCGGAAAAGAACTTCGCCACACGAAGGTGGGCGAATCAGAAACACAGACTTGCCTTTGGAACACGGAAAAGGTACGGCCTCAGATAACAGGGGATTGTCACATTTTGATTGGTGGAGTGAACAATGACATCATCAATTTTTTCTTCTTCATTCATCAAAGTAACGGAAGCAGAAATACTACTTCACAAATCTGTGTATGTACTTAGAAAACAATGGAAATTGAAGGATGTTGGTTAAGCAGCAAATTAGCTGGAGACTTGTTTCTTCTAAGCAAAATTGTCTGTGGTAAGCATGTTTTGGGGTCTGATTGCAAATTCATCACAATGGTTTTAATATGGGGTATACAAAATGTGTACATGATATTCCGTAGTCTATAGTAAGTAAAGTTAATCTGTAACGAGCCAATATGGCCCATCAGGCCGGCGTTTATCTCCGGTTTCCTTTACATGAAACGACTGAGAACATTTCTACTCCCCCTGAATGGGATGCCAGGCCATCGCATGATAATCCCCAGCTAATGCCGGCACCCATTTATACTCCTGGGTGGAGAGGGGCAAGTATATGGGTGGAGTGGTTCGCCCAAGAACACCGTTGAACATTATGGCCAGCAGCTGGATTCGAACCTCCGACGCCCTGATCATGAATCACAAACCCAATCCACTTGGCCACAGTCCCCACGGATGTTTAAGGTGAAGCAGATACCGAAAATATCCCTCTCTCAAGTAAAACTGTGGATGATGATGATGAAAATAATAATAGAATAGCCTGACAATATTATTAATGAACTATTAATGAACCAGTCCATGAAATGCCCTTTTGACTGTATTTCACAACTAGAAATAAATTGGTATCAATTTAATCACCGTGTCCACTTAATTAGTTTCGATCTTCTGCATTCGCTTCCCTCAATTGTTTTCCTGTGTCAATTTTGGAAACAAATAAAAGGAGATTATGTAATACAAAAATAGGCCTACACCTTGCCTGTGTTGACTGCGTATAAATACATTCCCACACCGACTTCCGTATATACACCATGCAGTTTTTGTCTGACCAAAAGCAAAGCATGCACCAACGATGCATTGTTTAAATTTCGGGAGCAGGGTTGATCTCTCAACGATGCTAATGTAAATCCCAGCCACAATTTCTAAAAAAAAAAATGCTTGGACCACTTCTCTATAAATTAGTGACCTCATGGATTCATATTTCGACCAATACGACATTCTGGGAACGGTGTTTCTATCACGTGAAATTTGAACATCAATTGCTTGAGCAACGAAACGAGACATCGTTTCGATGGCCGATCATAAAAACTGGGAGTTTGTGGTTATACTCTGAAAAACGATAGGGGTTTTAATGAACTCATTGATTTCCTGATGAGTTGAGTACGTGATGTTTTTCTTTGCCGCCATTTTGAGCCATTAGTTGAACCAATCGCGGCACGGATGTCACAGTAATCTCGTCGTATATCTTGTAACGAAGAATCTGATTGGCTGCTGAAACTCATGGATATGCACACTTAAACAATGACGCCCCTTTAACTCGCGATAATGTGTATAATGTTGTAACAGGCCTTGCAAATCCTTGTTTATATCGTGAGCCCAGAATACAAAAAGCAGAATCGTGACAAAAACAGAGAGAAGTTAAAACAAAACAGCAAGGAAACAGAATGACCCCAAAAAACTATAATAATTATGGAGACCACGTGGGCACCAGCTCCTCCCACAGACCGGTGCAACTAAAAACTGAATGGACACCATCGTAAATGTTATGTGAATAAATTAAATGACCGCCCCGAAATAACGAGCTTTTCTTTTATAGTGCAATTTCGTCTGCCGTGTGCAGTTTATCTAGGCCTATTTAGATTTTCTCGCTTAGACGCTGTCTTCAAAATGATTCTAAAACAAATGAAATCGAATCACCAGAGCATTTACATGGCAGCCGTATTGGAAATTCTGTACATTTTTTTTCACAGGGATACACACACAATGTGTATTCACTGTTAAAAGAGCACCTCCGATATGACTGCTGTATTTGGCTTTTTTATTAAATCCTGGGCCGAATTTCATGGCTCTGCTAACCACAGAATTCCGTGCTAACGATCACCATTCTGTGCTAACCGCGCTAGCAGAAAAAAATAAAATCTGTGCTAAGGCCAAAACAAAAAGTCTCCGGTTTCTGGTATGAGCGCGCGTCACCGCAGCCATGCGCGTCGGCAAAATGAAAAAGTTTTTTTTCAATACAAGATGATGTCTCAAAACCGCCAAACTCACTGGTTTGACTGGAATCCTGCTGCTGCACAATTTTAACGTGTTTTTAGATGGGGTTATGATCGAGAATAAGCTTTATGTGGCCTCTCTGGACTCCCATATATTTGCACTAAGTTTAGTCGGGCACCATTTGCAGTCATCAGCCGACATTTGAAGCAAAAAAAAAAAAAAAAACTTTTGGGGCAAGCTCCATACCAGAAACCGGAGATTTTTTTTTTTGGCCTTACCCTGTGAGCACAGAATCCTTAGCTACGGGATGTATGCTTTCGAGGAAGCCAAAATTCCTCGCTAACCCGTGAAATACGCTTGCCGTAATACGGAATTGTCTGCAACAGTATAGCAGGGATTTTTCGCTATAACGGTAAGCAGAGCCATGAAATTGGGCCTTGATCTGTACCTAAAGTGGAACCTTTCTGATCAATAAGGTAACCGGTCATCATTTGCATGTGAGGGGTACTTAGAGGGCATCATTTTCCGGAGGGGTACATAATGGGTTTGGTCATATTTAAACAAAGCTATTTTTTGCCTTCTTCAAATTTAAAGCAGGGGCGGCAAGGGGGGGGGGGCGCCTCGAGTCGAGGGGACGTGCCCATGCCCCCCACCCGTATACGGCACCATTTCTGATCATCCCTTTTCATCCTTAGCAACGGTGTTGCTCCCAAGAATGAGGAAGACTGCAAGATCTTAAACCGGCGTCGTAAAACGCATCAGGAAATAATTAAGACATCATGAGATGATCAGCTAATGGTGTGTCGGGAACTCCCGTTCATGTTATGAAGTCGGAACTTGTGTACAGGTGTCATCTTTTTGTACCAGCACATGCCAGCATCGTTCGAAACTTCTTTAGATCATAATTATTATTTTTTTCAGCAACAAGATGTTTTAATTTCCTCATGTTTTTCACTTCCCCGTTCGACTGCTCGTAAAAATGTTCTGTGTTTGTTTTGTTTTGTCTTGTTTTTAATCATACTTTTTGTCTGTTTCATCAAATTAACCACGTGGCTTATGAGAAGTCTATAGGGACACCGAGTCAGTGTGTGCGCATTTATACGAAATACAGAAAGTCGTTGCATCATCAAACTGGGAGATTTGGCAAAATCATTTCTGATTACGTCGTCTGATTCAAATGGTAACTATAACGGCTGATCCCGATTTGTGGAACACAGTTTTGTAAAATGTTTGTAAAATTTAAAAAAAGTATCATTCCAACGACCTATAGGATGCCTTGCAGGCTTCTGTGCATATATTGTGGATTATCGTACATTTTGCCTCCCCATGGACTAAGAAAAATAGAAAAGTACACGTTTTGATGATGAGGCCTACGTCCGAGCTGTTGTAACTTTTTGTTTTCTTTTCGAAAATCACCTCTGACTTTTAAGGACGTGTTCATCGAACAGAATTGTGGATTTCGGAAGGTCTCCTACTATAAGATTTACAGATGCTGATGACACAGATCAAGAGAATGAGGAACGAAAAAGCCATTTGTCTGAAATTTGAAAGCGACCCGCCTTATAAAAATACATTGCCCCATTTGTTGTAACTTATGCGCCTATCAATGTCCCCCCCCCCCATCCCCCGGGCTGCCCCACCCAAGATTTTGGGGTTGTCACTTTTGAAGTGACAAAATCCCCACCCCTTTGGCAAAATTTAAGTGACAATTCCCGACCATGCCCCGACATACATACGTGGGGCGCACTAGTGATTGCCTTTCCAGTATAGTACGCCAATGTTAACAATGTAATTCGAGTGACCAAAATCCCCACCCTGGGCCATGAAAAACGTGACCAAATCCCGACATCGTACCTGGGGCAGCGCGGGGGGGGGGGGGGGGGGGAGGAGGAGGAGGGGGAAACATTTTGATAGGCGAGTACAGACTGTAACTTACATTGAAATATTTGCCTCTGTTGCAGTGGCTTGAAAAACAAAACTTGAACCTCTTCATTTTCCTGAGTCCGAAACAACCATTGACTGTCTGCTAGACTTTCATTTATAGATTCAACTTTCAAGCAGCTCATTGGTCCATAGGGGGTTACGCCATCAACAGCAGTGACATAACACTATGCATTATGCATGATTCGCACGCACGTGGCCATTATATTGTACATGGTGTCAATCATCTTCCCACTGCAATGGATAAACCCGCCTCGCCATCAGCCAATCATGCCGCCTGTTGACCATAAGCCACGCCCAGTCCAATCTCACCGGAATTATGTCACGTGACAGAACGCATGCTCGATATGCATACTATAATCAAGAATTCATTTAATTAAGTCAATGCGCATTTGCTTTTTTCTGTAGTAAAATTCTTTAATTCATAAATGTCTTGTAAAATACGCAATACTTGCAATTACTTTTACTCGATTTTAATTTTGTTGCACTCATCAGCTGCACAAAAATATACGAAAATATTTCTTTAATATAGACTATAAATTTCTTCAAGTTGTAATAACTACGATACAGATAACATATACGGTATATTGTTTTTCTATTAACATAAAATGCTAACAATTACACAGCTGCATAAGACATGTTTATTCGAAAAATAGTAATTTCTTCATCTTCCACTGAGTATTTTTTACCTTAACCTTTTTCAAATGTTTGGAATGTCTTTAATTGTGCGTTGGATAAAAGTTCAGAACGTTATAAGTCTTCAAAAATAAAATATGTAATTGCACAAGAACTATACGTAATATTCTCAATTTATATATTTCTTATTATATAACTAATCATTTATCAATGGCTTACTATTCAGATATGGTTAGTACGTAGGAAACTAGTCTACACAATTAAACGCTACAGAAAAATCAACATGATTTACTTATATTGCTCTACAAAACATCAAAAACAGCTGCATTGGAAGTTTTTATGAAAATAATAGTGAAACGTGCTGAATCAGCACAAAAAAAATGTAATTGATTGATTGTAATGCACGTAATAGGCCTGGGAAACAATTTCTGTTCCCATCTGAGAACAAGTCCGGTATCCATTGTCATAGTTTAAGTATTAAAAGAAATCATCAGGGTTTCAATAAACAAGTAGCACCCTGTGAAATGTGAATTCTGAACCTTTTCGCATGTGGTCACCATGAAGTTCTTCCTGCCATGGTCCCTCTACAATTAACAGAGGGCGCTCGGGTGAGTTGCGCTGTATATATTTTATGGGACGAAGAAACGCTTCAACACGAAGTCCAGTTGGGCAACCGCCGCCATCATGCTGCCGAGTACGGAGGCCAGACGGTGCGGTGGGACCTGTTCATCACTCGGGGGGACTCTCAACTTCAGCATAAATGAGAGGACAAAATGTTGGTTCATTACATCGAGTTGGACTTGATACTCCAAACAATTCTGATTATTTTGCAGAATTTGCTAGTGACTGTGAGTACATTTGACACGGGATTTTTCTACTTCAGAACGTAGGTAAGTAGAGGATAGTTCTACAGTATTATTATTAAATGGAGTTTATTTTCCCCTTTGGTAGAGTGTTTGACAATAAATATCCCCGGCAACATTCCGATCGCTTAAAACTGTTTAGTCTGGTTCCCTGATCAAACGATAAACCAACGTCTCTATGATAAAGTCAGAATCTTTGGGTCTGCGAACCAGACTATAGACTGTTTTCAATGAATTGTAACTAATTGCTGATTGGCTTATTCGCACCATGCTTTTTCAGACGTCATTGGAAAATATTACTTTGTATCATGTCAGAAAACACGAAACAAAATCTGTCGTCTGTTGAACATATATGAGTGTGTAGCCTATACAGGAAGTTTGCAACAAATGAATATTGTATTAATGAAGAGTTCCTCACCTTCAGCTGCGTGGCGCATGATTGGCTGCGGTCGATATCACGTAGTGGGCTCCACGAGATGGATGCCTCTGATTGGTCAGCTGGCGTGGTGTCCCGGATGTCGGTTGGCAGGGTAGGAATGGGAAAACTTTCGCACGCCTCAACGCGTTGCAGCTATAAACAGTGTAAAAGAGAATGTGCATTAGTAAAATGTAAATGTGGAACTCGTAAATGACAGAATCGAGTTGGTGGTATAAATCGATCGATAGTAAAATAAAAATGTGAATGACTTAATATTACCTCGCTGCGCAGGAGAGCTACCATGGCATCTATGAGGTTGGAGAGAAACACGGCTTCGTCCGACAACTCGGTCCATCCGTTGGCCGAAGACAGCGCGCTGGCCCGGTCCAGCCATGCCGTGTACCCCTCGATCTCGCACAGGGAAACCCATAGTCTGTCAAACGGCTGGGGAGAAAGACAGAAATGACAAATGTTGAGAAAGACAGAAATGACAAATGTTGAGTGCGAGGACTCGACGATTAAAAATAATAAATGTCTACAAATATCGATCGACTGCGAGTCGTGTAGGCCTCGTGAAATTAGCCAGCAGCAGCAGCAACATCAACATCAATGACAACAACATGAAAAACAGCCCAAAGGTTGTCAGACCGTTTATCATAATACATATGCGTAGCCAGCGGGGGAGGGGGAGGGGGGGGGGGGGGAGTGTTAAGGGGATATTTACTTAACAAGTGCCCTTTTTCTGAACAAGTGCCCCACCCCCTTCTTTTAAAGTCATGTACTTTTTTTTGCCATCGGACGTTACGGGTGCCGTTTTTTTTGCATTTCGCGCATGTATTGCCCTGAAAAGCACCATAGTGTCCGTTATTGTACATAATCGTCAGTTTTGAACAGTGCTCCCATGTGCAAGAGCCCTTTTCAAGAAAAGTTTACCGCCCCCCCCCCCATTAATTATGACCTTGCTACGCCTCTGTAATATTGAAATAAGTCAGGTAGCCTGACTTCATGCCATGCACTGCAGTAAACTTACATGTGTGCCTTCTCCCAACAGTCGTCTTCTGAATGCCGCAATAACCGGTCTGGTGACGGAAGGTTGGCTGCCGTGGGACTTTGAAAGTAAAAAAAAAAGAACAATTTGTCCAGGTAAGTTAACAAAAAAAGTCTATAACCCATCAGAATTTTCCTGAAAACAGAATTATATTTCAACAATATATTAGGTTTAAGTGTCATTAAATTGGTGATGTGTATGAGAGAAATCTTTAGGTCTCATATTAGAGCAAATGGCGTTTCTCAATACACCTGATTTAACTTAATTTAGAGTAATTTCATCTCCAAAACTTGATCTAGGTCTAATCAAAATCGAGTCGGCGTAAGTCTTTTGCATGACCGCTGCTTATCTCGGATTTCCTTGGCACGAAACGATTACGAATTATCCCCCCCCCCCCCCTTCCTCGGATGGGCCCAGCTAAATGGAGGTGAAGTGGCTTGCATTGACTGGCCAGCGGCTGCATTCGAATCCCGGACCAGCAACCACTTAACTAGGATCAACTCCCATTTTCAAATTGCGAAAATTAAAACTAAAATCAAACCAGTTTAATGCGACGGTAAAAATAACATCGTTTTTCTTACCATATACTGGTCCAAAAACAGCGAGACCCGATCTTTCAGCTCCAGCACGTAGTCTACGTAAATGTCGTCCGGGATCACGCAGCTGACCGTGTCGTGCTGGCCGAGGTCCGCCGTGGCATTCGTCGATTCAACGGCCCAAGTTAGCTTCCCGTGCCCCGCTAGGATCAGGGACACGGCAGTTAGCATTATATACCAGGGACGTTGGCAAACACGGTTTGAAAATGAACGCCTATAACTTTCGCGAGAACCACCCATTTTTGAAATGGAGATTGTGCAAAATATGGAACTTGCAAAGAAACAGAAGCTTTATCGACTATTATTTAAACTTCTCTCACTATAAAGACAAATTCGGATTGACCACACCGTGCTCGCAGTTGTTTCGGCCAGATTACATTTTCAGGGCTCTTCGGGTCCAATTTATATAATTTCTCTAGGGTCTACTTTTGTGAGTGTCACTCGTTTCGCGAGAAACGCCCAGCTTTCCCCGGACGGTCAAAACACGTATTCAGGGAATTAAGAGCGGGAAAATGAGTTGCCTAAAAATTCCGTATCCTGGAGTGACATAGCCTACTCACAAAAGTACGTCGTGCGGGTTTGAAGTTATTTCGTAGCTATATGAATCACGCTAAATTAATTTGTTGCTTATTTACATTTTATTTACCCATATAAGGAACCAGGAAGACGGCCCAAGCAAAAAACATATGCAAAGCATTTTTTTTTCTTTTTTCTTTTTTTAATAAAATCAGATTTTACAAACTTAAAAGCTTAGGCTACTCCATTTTCCCACTAAACACTTCGATCGTAATCAATCTAACTCCAAAATTAGCGTTCGTCGTCTTTTACGTTAAACACAACAAAATATGACAGCTGCCCCCCACCAAGAACAAAATAAAAAACAGTTTAACGAAATATACGAACCATACTAGCGATTCACAAATAAAATAACTTTTAACACCCCCCCCCAAAAAAAAAACCCACCCAAGGTGGTGCAGACTCGTCTTTATTTTAAAAAAATTTAAAGGGGTCCATGAAGTGAATTTTTCTGAGGAACATATTTCGTGCATTTTTTACCCTTCTTAAATGTTAAAGTATTGGACATCCGTTTTTTTGCAAATTTTAATGAAAAGTGCATTTTCTTTAACATTTACAAATTTCCATGCTTTTCCGGACAACTTAGGGTGTGTTGCTATGATGTCATTTAAAGAAGACAAAGTTCAGTTTTAATTAGCTGTTTTTATCTTCAAAATATTGAAATCATTTGTGGAAAAAGTACGCTCACTGGTTTACTGTCATGTACTGACACAACAAATCACAAAGAAAAGAAGATTTATGACAGCGAAATAACCAAAATTCTGGCAAATTTTGGTGCTGAAACTATGAGAGATCTTTGAAACAGACGTACCTTAAATTTCTATCAAAGAAAATTTAACTATAGTGAATCAAGGACACTTCGGTTACAAAAATACAGGGCAAACACAACATTTACTTTAAAAATGTATTAAAAAATTATAACGTTTAGTCTTTCTACATAAAAACGAAGCAATGTTTACCAAGTATTCAGGAAAAGTATTTTCACCAAGATATTATATAAGTTATTTTACCGATTTGCAAAGTAAACTTTTACCAAACTATATAGTTACGAAGATATTAGGTAAATTAATTTACATATTTTTAAAGTAACATTTTGCCATACATTAGTAAAAAACAAAAATTACCCAACACCTGTTGTGTAAAATTTTACCTAACTATTAGCAGGTTCGTACGGCACATTGCAAACCTGTTTAGTCTTTTCTTAAAATGACATCACACTTTTGTTTTAAGAATATGAAAATTCACGTTTTGCATAAAAACCAAAAAAGGCATCCAAATACCCTTGAAAATGGCAAAATGAGAAATTAAAATGGTACAAAAAGGTGCATTTGAAAGTTTTGCATTGAAAAAAAAATTACATGGGCCCTTTAAAAAGTACATGACCTGTTCTTCCAAGAATAAAGTGCTTATTTTTATTTCGAGAATCCGTCAACATTTCAATGTCATTATTCCATCCACTTTCCATAATAGGCGCAGCCTTTTTTGTACTTCCTTACTATAGAAGCGGACGCATTTGGTGGTGGTATAAAATAAACAAACATTACTCCAACAGGAACAGCGTGCACTGTTATTTCGGTTGTGTGAAAATCAAACGGTTGTGTACTATATGAACCTAGTAACCCGTTGTGTAAACTATTACACAACTTGTTCAATTTTTTTACACAACTGGTTGCTAGGTTCATAAGGTACACAACCGAAATAACAGTGTGGGGAATCCTCTTTATGGCCAAAAAAAAAGTCTCCGGTTTCTGGTATGCGCGCGCGTCGCCGTAGCCATGCGCGTCGGCAAAATGAAAAAGTTTTTTTTTTCAATGAAAGATGATGTCTCAAAACCGCCAAACTCACTGGTTTGACAGGAATCCTGCTGCTGCACAATTTAAACGTGTTTTTAGATTGGGTTATGGTCGAGAATGAGCTTTATGTGGCCTCTCTGGACTCCCATCTATTTGCACTAAGTTTAGTCGGGCACCATTTGTAGTCATCAGCCGACATTTCAATGATTTGAAGCAAAAAAATCAGGTAAAAAAAAAACAATAGCCGCGTCGCCGCACCACTTTTTGGGCAAGCTCCATACCAGAAACCGGAGACTTTTTTGTTTGGCCTATAGGTGGACACATCCTACATTTTATAGGTGTCAACATGACAGAACAGCAACAGTATCGCAATATTTCACAAAACAATACGAGCAAGACTGAACGGACAAAGAATTACGCCAAAAGAAAGTATATGTACGTGTGACGTCATTCAGATCACCGCCAATTTGATTTAAAGGGACACTAGGTCCTGAAACAGCCCAATTGGGCTACAAAACGCTTTTTGAACGAGATTATGTTAACCGGAAAGAACATTTAAAACTGGGATAGAAACGTCCACACAACTATCCTTTAAAAACTGGGCGTTTTGGGGGTTATTCCTGTATTATATGTGCGAGAATGAATTTCGGGGTCCACTTTTGCGACCCCATAAATTCGAGCCGTTTGGATGCTAGTTGTGATTTCATTCGTACGCGTTAAGTGTTCGCCTTTTGCGGACGTTGAAGAAACCACAATTTCTTTGCATTGGTGATTGGTCACCGCTGTTCCTGAGACACACAACGTGTATATCGTACACTGTATGAGAACGACACGAAAAACGTATTCGTTCTCCGTCGTGTCCGATGTAAACAACCGGGGGTTTTCGTCTTTTCTCGGGAACGGTAAGACATTAGGTTGGTTTCCTTTCAACCACATGTTTGAAATAGGATGAGTAAACAATCCAAAACATGAAAATTTCGGGGATTTCAGGACCTAGTGCCCCTTTAAGGTGGGCGAAGCTACCTCGCCTGTACTCGAGATACGTAGCGTTTAGGATAATGGACGTTTTATCAAAATTAAGACAGGGTAAAAAAATATGTGTGTTATAGTTTAAGTAAACTTGCTTTAGTATTTTCAATGTCTCGGATTGTGAAATATATGCATGCGCCTAAATCAATTTTAGACTCCAACTATAATAATGGCTACAATATAGCAATAATACAACTACAAGATAATACACAGAAGATTATACGCGCCACCTTTTTTGCTAGTCTAAAGAGAGGATGCAATTATTTAATTGTACATGGGTGTTCGGTCAAATGCCGGTGTCATAATGAAAATCCGACTCCTATGCATGAAAACTCGGACTCATTTTCGCTATTATTGGTTAATTCCATGCACGTGATGAGTCCCTCTCCTAATTATCATACTTATGCATGCGCACTACTACCAACGAGTCCATTCATGGAGTCGGATATTCACGCTATCTATACCGGTCTGAGTCGCAACGGTTTCAAGTTGTCAAAAAGGCTATATCCAATGGCGCCCTCTATATAGTGACTGATTTATCATTGTGGGTAAAACAACTGGACAAGTTCGATCAAGAAATATACATGCAAACTCATACCAAGAGCTGTCGTGATGATGTCTTGACCAACGTTTTATCTGCTGGAGACGTTCACACTTTACTATCAGAGCGCAGGCGTAAACTACGTCACAACTAAAACAGAAGTCGGACCAATGGTCCTTGATCGAACTTGCTCATTAATGGTCCATGCGCGCGCTGTGCGCACGCGGTGAGGTGTTGACCCGGCCGGGGTCACACGACCAAATTCATCCAGTTAATGAGAGCTGAAAGAAATAGCCGATACCATCGCCTTCAGACAAGGGCGGTGGGAACGATCTAACAATCGTTTGTCAGTGGAAGTGCTGTTTCTAAGCTCGCACTATCACGAAATACTGTGGTGTGGTTGATAGAGTAGCAGCATTACTCGATTTATCATCCTTTGACAAAAACGAACCTAAAAGAGAGAGGGGGAAAGGAGAAGAAGTTAACAAAATCTCCCTTGGAATATTATTATAGTAAGGAAAGGCCTAGACAACCACAGATGGCGAACTAATTAAACAGGCTAGCGGAAAAGAAATGTGTGCATATCGCAAGCAGGACTGGTCTACGAACAATAGGCCGTTATCATGTAATTGCGGCCATTTGGATTTTTCCCATTCAAATCAACGTAACCAAAGCGAGGCTGGGAGGAAAAAATCGTCAGGTTCCTGTTTGCACAAAAAAACCTTATCATTCAGTACTGTTATTGGAGACAGGGAACATGACTACAATGGTGGCAGCATAATAAAGGTCTTGGGGGTATCACCAATACTAAAATATATCTGTACATATTAGCAATATACAATATAGTACATAAGTCAGGGCCGGGAGGCGACTAATAAAGTCGAAGAAAATTTCACGAAGAAAATAAAAAAAATTCGATTCCGATTTTTTCCCCGTTTTTGCTTTAAAGCATTGTACTTAACCATTTTGACATGTTTATGTAAGCAACTTCATTAATTTCCAAATTACATTAATGATGCAAGTGGCAGACATCTCGATAAATGCATTTTGCGTTTGCACGAAGAGACACAAACATTTTGGCCCCTTGAACGCGTACAAAACCTATTGCACCGAAAGGCATAAAAGTAGGTCAACTGAGATGTTCGTTTTAATTTCACGATCCGAGAGCCACATCTCTGTTGTTACATTCTCAGCTCGCGCGCGTACACACGCGCGCCCCTTATGGGAAAACACATTGAACAGAAATTACCAAAACTGCCGGAAACTTGAATTTTCGTTTCCACGAGGCGACGCAATATCTTTACTAATTAAGTTTCGCTAATTAACTTCTGTGTTTGTTCTAATTACTGAGTTCACGTAAACATTCACCTCTCATAGAATCATGTAGAGATTTCCTTACTGCACAAAGTTGTTGCAAAGTAGGTGTTTTTTTTTTCAGTTTTAAAATCGGAGAAACTTCTTTTGGGATTGTCTCGAAAACAATGTTTCTTCCAAATCCACATGAGGCTCTTCGTGAAAACTTTGTCTGCAATTGTCCAGAGCTACGAAGCGACTTTCAATTTACCAATCACCAATACACAATGTATAGGCCTACTGTGTTAGAAAAGATGGCAAAATATCAAACCCTATACCCACATAAAATACATGTACAATAGGGGAATGTTTCTACACTGTAAAAAATTGCGTTATTTAACGGTTGTTTTTCTGTTGAAATTTCTGTAAATTTACAGTAGATGTTACTGTTTTCGGATTTTTCTGTAAATCTAAAAATTTGTTACTGCCTACGTACAGTTTTCTCAATTTCTCTGTTTGGTTACGGTATATTCGCTGTTAAACTAAAATTCTGTGGACGCACAAGGAACATCATGTTTTGAACAAGCCCCCGTTCTGACTCTGTTAGAACTTCGATGTCGGTCAACAGAGAATCATCTTTTTTGTACAGGGTTCGGCCGTATCGCGTGATTTTTCACTGGTAGGCGGTAGTAGTGCAACTGTGGCATAAACGCTGAAGGGTACCAGTATGTTGTCAAGGAAGGCGCGCGCGGGAGTCGGACTATACCGTACCATATACAACTTACCGTTGCGTCCATGCGTATGCGTACGGTAGCATCTTGGAGCAAATTTACTTATCCGTTTCTGCTTACATGTTTGTATTTTGTATTGTAAATGACTATTACTCTCAAAAAGAAGCGCTATATAGAAGCGGTTTCAGTTTGTAAACCTGATTGTCAACGACAACACATTTGAAAGTTGCCTGGTTGTCATTGCAGCATGCCGTAAGCCAACGTGCAAGTATCTACATTCGAACCTTCATGGGTTTTATCGATAGAACCGCCATTATATGACGTGTTACAAGTATCTGCATGTGATGTACGTTCATTATACGAGAATATCTGTGTACTGAGGCTCACACAGGACCTGTCATTCGCAATCCTCGATACAAACATGAACACTTTGTCGTTTATCGGCCCCCATCAAATAATCACCGTTTAAACAAAAACAACCTTTTGTTCAGCAACAGAGAGTTGTTAAGGAACAAAAAAAACAGCGAATGTGCTGTTAGGTTACAAAACGACAACACTTAATCATCTGTTACAAAACAGTAGAATCCCCTGTAATTGAACAATATCAAATAGAGTAGAATCTGCTGTTAATGTACAGAGAAAAAAGAAACAGTAGAATATACTGTGCAAAAACAGTAACTCCTGTAATGCCAATTGACAATAGAATCAACTGTTAATGAACAGACATTTTTTTTAACAGTGTACTCATTGACTCATTGCAATCGTCACTGATTTGGGGAGGCATAATGTCTCCCGACACAGACTCAGCAACGGCGGACCTCTTAAAGGGTGGCTAGTACATAATCCTACCTTTTTGCTCGATGCTCTGAAGAGAAAATTCACCCTGATCATTCGACTTTTGGTACCAGAAACGAGGGTTCAGTGGAACGTTGTTTCCCAACATAAAACTTGGAAAATCCTACACAAAGGGACAGGGTTAAACAGTATACGTGATTATGACGTATATGATATACTTGAGATGACACAGGAAATAGCTCAGCCCTCCCAGAGACCGTAAAAAAAAATTACACCAAAAGGCGGTATTTACAAGAAATTCGAAAACAGCGCCATAGACGAGGTGTCATGTTCAGATCCTGACATAGGCCTAATTGTCAACTTGATGACGACGTCTTACCCATAAGAAATCTGAGATAATTTACAACGGGATGATGCCATTCTAAAAGTAGAATGTCAACATCCTCAGCTTTTAACATCTAGGATGGCACCTCCAGAGCTCCGTATGTAGGCGCCACAAATTTGACAAAGATTTAAAATTCGCAGCATGGACCATGATTGTGCTCGCTGATGCCCACTCGTTTCAAAACTATGACGGAGTTTAATCAGCATTAGCGTGGAAGTTTGCAGGGGGTGACCCCCTCGCCCTTGCATTTTTATTTTAACAAGTGCCCTTTTTGTGTGCACAAGTTCCCTTTATCCACGAGCGCCTTTTTTTTCGAACGTCGTGCGAATGTCGGCAATATTACCGCTATCAAAAGCGCCATCGATTGTCCGATAGTGGTCATGCTCGTCCGCCTTGAAGAGCGCGGCCTCCATAAGAATATGGTGCCCAGACATCCCCATCCTCCCCCTCCCCCCGCTTTTTAATTTTACGGGGCTGGATGAACGGTTAAAAACGGTCTTACTTTTGGCACGGATGAGGCGAGGGCCTTTTTTCACGTCTACCCCTCTCCCTCCACCGTCACGCCACCCCAACCCCAACAAAAATGACCTATAGCTGCGCAACCGAAGCAGACTTACCATCGTATCTAACTCGGGATCGGCACCAGATGTTTCAACAGCCGCTGGCGTAGTAGAGGGGGTCACTGGCTTCTCGTACTCCTGCAGAGAGTACACGACCGGAATGCCGTCAGCTGGCGTTCCTGGACCGACGTAGTTATACAAGTAGAACAAACCTGTCACCGAAAAAAATGGTTCTGAATATGGTGCATGAAAAGTGGCTTTTGCATGCAGCTGCTGGTCTCATAACCCGCGCTGTCTTTGTTAGTGCTGCCCCTGCTGATGCTTGTCTTTTGCTATTGCCATTGCTGCTCGTGGTGTTGTTGCCACGCGCAATTGCTTATGTTTTTATATGCTGCTGTTGCTGATTGCAGTGCTGTTTTTTGCTGCTAGTTGCTGCTGCTTTCGCTGATTGCTGCTGTTACCGCCGCTTCGAGCTGTTGCTGTGGTCGCTGCCTTTCCTGCTGTTGCCGCTACTTTTGTTCACGGTACGTACTGTCGTTGTCATCGGTGGTGCTGCTGTTTGCTGTTGTATGTAAATTTTGAAGACTTTTGTCGTATCTCACAAATGCAATATTCCAAAATCAAAATTCTTTTTGAATTAGGTTTGTTAGACAAAAGGTAAATGCACACAGTTTTGCACAAAACAGAAAAACATGACCTCAATTTAAAAAAAAAAACATAATGCGGAAAAGCCGTTTGTTCTGTTGGAAACAGACACAGACCTCTAGTTGCTGTTGCTTTTCTGTTGCTGTTGCTGCTGCCAGTTGCAGTTGTTATAGCTTTCTCTAGACGTTGTTATCGGCAGTTTCCGGTTGGTCGTAATAAATGCCCTTTGCAACGAGGACAGCTTTTGCTGCTTATGTTGTTACTGAGGTAGCTATGGTTGCTGCTTCTGTTGTTTTTATTTACCAATGTAAACACTCATGTATCGATACTTACTTGTACTCCCGTTGTATGTCGGTGAGAACTCCACTTTTCCTTGATCAATGCTCAGGTAAAGTGCTGGGTTTCCCTGAAGATATATATTGTAGCCACGGACGGGTGGTCCAAGCCACCTATACTCGGTTACCATTGGACCAGGATTTATCCATGGCATGACATCTTCAGCCGTCTGAGTCAAGTACAGAATATACACCTGCGGTAGGTTTTCTTCGGTAAACAAAACAATCAAATCGTCATGGGAAAAACTCAGATCATGAACTGGCCAAAGAAAACAAAAATCGGCGAAAAAAGAACATCAATCCCTTTTATCAAGCCTTTTTTTTTTAAAACAAGGGTGTATAGTCAATAAAGAAATAAACTGAGAACATTTTTTTCCGGATAATTTTTTTAGTCGGCCGAGGAAAATCCGAAACGATGAGGCTGAATGCCAATGAAAGAACGCTCCTGATGGGCGACGTTCATGAACTGGCCAAAGAAAACAAAAATCGGCGAAAAAAGAACATCAATCCTTTTTATCAAGCCTTTTGTTTTAAACAAGGGTGTATAGTCAATAAAGAAATAAACTGAGAACATTTTTTTCCGGATTATTTTTTTAGTCGGCCGAGGAAAATCCGAAACGATGAGGCTGAATGCCAATGAAAGAACGCTCCCGATGGGCGACGTTCATGATATGGTAGCGCGGGCTATTTCAAATTAGTTATTCCAGTTAGTAGTTTCGTAAGTGTAATAATTCGAGGATCAGTTTGCACTTTTCTTTTCTTTTTATCAATATGGTGGTCTTTTGTAAGGCGGCAGAAGGCTTTGCCCCAATCTGTAATTAGCTCAATTGTCTACTGACACTCCTTCATCGAATTGGCCATGTTTTGTCAAAGTTGTACAATCATAACATTTTCTCTCCATGGCAACTCTTTGGTGGCGCACTGCATTGTGAATCGCCCGAATTAGTTGCCCGATGCGTCGGGCAACTAATTTTGTTAGTTTTATTAGACACTTTACCTACATGTATTTCTGGTTTAGCATGGAGGAATCCAATTGTTTAGTTTAGATCATCGTTTAGTTGCTAAGTGAAATGACTGAAATACTATCGGTTTGTTATTATTTCGATCTGAAAGACTTTTTTTATGAAGTTTCGTTTACAATTCTCAAGATAGCTGAGTTTTTAAATACGTGCCTGAATTCAGGAAACCGAGTTATCATACCTTTTTTCACGACAAGTTCGAAGTAAGTCCACACGAACACGTGCTTATCTTCATCCAACTGGCGCTTAACGGTCTGTTAAGAACAAAATAACCAAAATGTTGTTGCATGAGAGAAAATGGTTTTGCTCAGAGCAACTTCGGGCGAAGACCATTAGTCCATCATTATTTTGTGACGTAAGTTTGTGCCTGGCACTAATAGCAGTACTCGAATGTTACTGGTCAAGCGAAAGTCACGTGTCCTGGATCCCCGTTGTGCTTTATGATGTTTCCAGCTATTGGGAACCAGCGATGGAACCGTGGCTCATTCTTCTTCTTCCTTTGAAAAAAAAGTGCTGCCTTCATTATGGTTGAAGATAAACGCACTGTCAGAAACACCTGGGCAAACCCCTTCTCTAAGCAATAAGATTTACTGGGTTCTTTTACGTGCATTAAACAACGCACGGGACCTATACGGCCCATCCGAAAGACGAAGCAATAATGGTTAAGTGTCTTGCTTAAGGACACATGTGTCAAGACCGGGACTCGAACCCACACTCTGCTGATCAGAGACACCAGAGCTTGAGTCCGGTGCTCTTAATACCGCCTATAACCGAGCTCGGCCATGACACTCTCATGGTTCTAAAGAGTCGACTGTAGTCCAACCATCCTTCGTTTGAGTCGAGCGAAGCTATAGCGGAACTTTGGTGAAACTATCCATAGTTCGCGGCCAAACTCATTTGCTCCCGGACATTATAATCATTTATTTTCTAGAAGATTTAACGAGCCACTTTCTGTTGTTCAGATAACACCATAGTTGTAAACATGGCAGGTAACGAGAAATAGAGAACGCCCGTGGGTCCAACATCAAATTCCATTCCATATCATACAATAATGTAGCTCCTCTTTGTCATATAACTAAAATGCTATACCTAATTCGATTTTAGGCAATGCATTATGTGACTTGGTGGCGCTGGCTCTGTTGGAAAAGAAGGATAGTAACTCTTAAGTCCAGGTATGCGGAAGTTAATCAAAGAAACAAATTCTCGTTCATATCAGTAAAATCCGCCAGGACTCACCAAAAGCAGCTTGGGCTTTACATCTTCACGGAGAAGGTCCAGGAGATCTTGGACTTGGAACCCCTCGATGTTTGTACCGTTGATATCCACGAGAACGTTGCCATCGCTGGTATTAGAAAAACAAACAAGGGGATTCAGATTGGCGTTCAGCTGCAACTGTAAGCGAACGTACGGGCGAGTACATTATAGTCGACCAATTTGGTTGATTCGTGACGTAACTGACGCCTGCGCACTAATAGCAAGTTACTACAATTCGCAACAATGGTCAAAAAACGTCATCACAAAACTTCTTTATCCCTCTGCTAGCTGTGCATGATGATGCACGTGATTAGCCTATTTGAGGTGTGGCAGATTGGGGCATTTTTTCTTTTGTATATAACCAAAAGGAATAACGCCATAGGCCTCTCTCAAAATGATATCACTTCCTGCAGATTGTCACCTGCATCGGCATTTTGCGCGTCAAATTTTTATGACGCGCGCGCGTGTCGGCTGTGCGTGCGCCGCCGTCCTGAAACTATTGAACCTCGAGCAATACGCACGCGTGCTAAGAACATTCTGCACACCGCGCGCACCGGTTCATGCGCATTCACCTGAGGCGTTGAATACGCATTGTCCTATAAAGATGGCGTCCTTTGAGAGGAGTCTATATGCATTGATTTCTAGGCTGTATGGTAACCAGTGATGAAGCCTAATACCCTGTGATACATTAATTGGGCTCGGGTCATTATCAGCGTCCAGACTCCAAACCGGTCTAAAACATCTTGTTTATAACCGGCCAAACACACATTCCTTATTTGTTACGCATACGTACTAAATTCCTGCGTCGCGAGCCCGGCTATTTTTCACCGTCTCTGATAGGACGAATTTCCCACTGATGTCATCAAGTCGCACCCCGAAGTCCACTGCCCTACCCTGCTTATTTGGGTACGGAAGGTACACTTGTCCGCCGACTCCCTAAAATTGTAGACCTCAAATTGTTTTACATTAATTTGCAATATAAAAAAAACATAGAAATACAACCAATGATTTTTCCTTGATAATTGGTTTTTTTGTGACTTTCGATCGACTTTGATTTTGAATGAATGCCAAATTGGGACTGAAACCGAGGATCTCTCTGCTGTCTTATATTAGAGGATAAATACAAAGAAAACGACCTCAATTCATACAATGGCTTAGCACAGACAGCCGCGGTCTCAATGCTAATCTGAAATTCGTCCATATAATATAAAGGCCATTTATCTTGATCGAATGAGGGCGCTTTATTTCCCTTATGAGGGCGCCATTTCCCGTTTACAAACGGCAGAAATACCCAACGAGGCGCGGATCCAGGGAGGGGGGCCTGTCCACACTTCCCCCATAGCTTTGCCAAAATTGTATTTTTCCATAGAAATTGATAAACAAAAATAATGTTAATCCCTGTTCCCTTGCTCTGACACCCCAAAACAATCATGTTGGTATTAATATACGCCTGTGCCCAAAATACGGACAGAGCCTGTTACGGAGGTATTTGTATATACACTTCCCTGTTAATATAGTGTTAGTAATCGTCGGATTTGAACAACGCTCCCATTGAAAGTTTGGTACGAGCCCCCCCCCCCCCCCCCCCCCCCCCAAAAAAAAACAACCACCTATTGATTTTACGGAGCCAAGCGTCTGGACAAAATAAACACTGTCTACATTTCAGCTTTGATTTCCTGATGAACCCCCCCCCCCCCCCCGCAAAAAAAATCCTGGATCCGCCCCTGAATATACCACTTGCATTGAAACATGTTGGTCCAATTTACTCCAACTTGAAGAGTATTTTTTTCCGGGGGGGGGGGGTACTTGCACTTACCAACTTCTTCCCGTGACCACTGGGCTTATCAGTGCCGACTTCTGTCTCTGATGCTGCGCCTATGCCCGTCAACTCGGCCGCCGTATCTGCAACCAAAAGAAACCCGTTGTGGTCTGTGTACATTTTTTTTCTGCAGCCACGTATGGTCAATGACCACAGTGCGCACGCGTCAGCTATACATGTAGAATACTTCCCACATGGACTTTACATCTCTTAAACATATTTTCAGGACCATAAATCAGAAAAAAAGGGAAATTTGATAAAAGTAGGATTTTTGAAAAGTTGATTTAATTTTTTTTTAAATTACAAAAATTATCTAATGCAAGCGGGAATACAGGGAAAAGTGAATTTGCTTGGGTTCAAATCTGCGGCATGCAGTATAAAAAAAAACAGGTATCAACAACTAGGCTGTAGTGACGCTTTGAAATTCATTGGAAATCTAAATTTATGGGTCATCTCAAACTTCATTTCAAATCACGTGATATGTTATTTCAATCACGTGATACGTATCGAGCATTCGTATTTTGTAAGTGACTGACTTGATTCCCGAAAACATTTCTCGAAAACGTAACAAAAGTAAGCCAAAATTTACAACGTGGTTGTATTTCTTGAGCTGGATTTTTTTTTTAAATTCCCCAAGACATTCTTCAATTCAAATCTGTGTGATCGTCCGTGAAACGGCCAGTGCACTTCTTAATTAAGCGATGTGATACTTGCCTATATTTGAAATACCTTGTTCGTTTTTAATTGAAAGGGGAAAAAAATGATATTGTCGGCTATCTCACCTTGTGGTTTCCCGGATGCCATGTCTCAACGTTGGTCGTTCACGGTTGTTCTTTTATGCAGTCCTTTCCTTCTGCCTAAAATGGTAGCAGGAAATAATATTTTACTGTCGCATTTCTTTGCTTTTTCTCACCAAAATATACCCGCTTGGACCCTACGGCAACTCAACGGGTTTTCAAGCGTAAAAAGGACTAAGCTCAGATATGCTCAGATGTATGGAAGGAATGCAAACCTATATTGTCCTGCGGTGAATGGTGTTTGTGCTTCAATTTTTTGGACCACTCATAAATCATTGAATATCAGTCCCAATACTAGTCAACATACAATGCATTGCAAGGTCGTTCAGGCGCGCATGTGCAGACACATGAACGTCTGATAACCTCTGCAGTAGGTCACGCACATCAGTTAAAGGGAATGCACAGCATTTGCTTTTGCTGCAATTTTCAGAAATAAATGGATTTACAGGAGTATGTTATAGCAAATATTGTTACATTGACTTGTTTCACGTTTTGGGTTCGTAGATGCTGGAAAAACCAACAAAACCAATCATATTAAGTTCTTGTAGTCTGGTTCCCTGACCCCACTTAAGATGAAACCATTGATCTCCATATGAAACAGAGCAATTTATATACGCTTTACTAGGAATTGCAAGATCAGAGAATCAGCCAGCCTAGCAGGCTTGTAGTCTTCACAGGTGCGTAATCAATTGCAAAGAAAATGCAGACGAACTAAATATGAAACATTAGGAGCACTTTTTGAAGAAAAAAAAGCCAGTTTTCTCCAACGCTGGTCGGCCGAACAGCGTTGGAAAAATACAGCTTTTCTTGAAAATGCCAGCACACCAGGAGCCACAACTTTACATGATGCTTTAGACTGTCATTCCCTAACAATCCAGTAAGATATTTCGTGATAACTTGATCATTTCGTTTATTTATGTTTCATAAATTTTGTATCTTCCCTTTAACGTTAAAGGTTGCAGTCGCTACAGTGTAAAAAAAGTTAGTAAAAGCAGATGTATTTTTTTCATTTATGGCTTACAATATGGAAGTCCAGTGGATATGCGAGTATTTCTTTTGGGTGTACTGACAATATGGCAGGGAACGGTTCAGCCTCGGCGGAGGTTGGCGCTCTCTGAGTGCTTTCTAGCTTCAGGATACTTTCCTGGGTTACCCTTAAACATTTGTTTTCTTTTTTTTTTGTCTGTCAGCTACTTGTTTGTTCCGCAGGCTTGCGCAGTTTCATGATCGCTTTTGAGAAATCCGATCAGCGCAGTCCGCTCTATTTCTCCATAATTACCACTACTTTACTTGGTTTTCAAAAGATCGGTGATTTGTTTTTTTCCCGGTCCATGGTTTTATTAGGGTAACTGTACCATCTGTAAGAAACTTTGGGAATTCGAAGTTCATCACTGTTTTGTCAAGACTAAGACCTTTTTGTGGATAATGAACTTGAATTTGAGGTAGACTCGTTGATATGCCCCGCATCGAGGCAAAGGAACACAGGTTGACACATTGGCGAACATTCATTCGAAATGTTCACTGAAGTCATTTAGGTTTCGAGAGTAGCTATATAGTCAAGTGAATATAGATCCGATTTTTTACAAGATCGTGACTGCCTTGTCCAAAGCACCAATCTTCCTATTAAACACATTTTTATAGCCCGAGAAGATATTTAGAACGGTCGCACCGCTCTTTTTGGGAGGGTGACTAATTTGCATAAATTGTAAATAACTGCCGTACTGTAATATTGTATTTACATATTTTGATGCATGTAATTTTTATTTTTAAAGTATGTTTTAGGATTCTGGTTACATAGGCTCTGCATTACCTCACTCAAATAACATTTTATGCAGTACAATGTCGGGATGCCATTATGTTACGCGCATTTCAATATCATCAAGAACGTCTTTATGTTTTCTTTTGACAAGTTACCAAAGTTACAAATGAAACAAAGGGTACGAATATTCTGGATAAGGGACTTACAAAAAAAAAGAACCAAAAACCTGTTGTCAACATGAAACTCCTTCAATTTCCTCAAGAAATATAATCTTTGATTTGCTTTACCTGCCACAGACTTGCAGTTGTCAGTCCATGTACGTTTAGTATCAATCACAGTCCCCCAAGTACTTGTACTCAGACACTTGCTGAATAGGATGATCGTGAATATCCGGGTTCATTGACAGCTGCCGATCGACGGAAGTCAAAGGTCATTTCCGTTGTTTTGTTTACATTGAGGACTAGATCATGATGATCACACCATATGTACCAGCTAGTCTACACATTTCTGAACTGTGTTAAAATACTCGGATGGATCATCATGCAAAAAAAACCTTCTGATTACTGTGTGGTCTGCATATTTAATTATACTGCAGTTGGGGCTCAGATTATTAAAATCACTAGTAAAACAGAAATTACACAGCCAGATTCCCTATTAATTCACTTTACCCTCTGTGGCCTGTCAGTAAGAAAACCGTGCATAAGCAATGCAAGTGTGGTGTGACAATCAAAGTCAGCAATTTACTAGTTAAAATATGCGGAAGAATAGTGCTAAACGCACTCGAGAAGGCAATAAAAAGTGATCTAACAAGGGACCTGGGCACGTCTAAATGAGTACAAAGTTTTTGGAGATACGAAGTGACTATACACCTCTATTCTTTTGATATGCAAATTGAGATGAATCAAAGTGACCAACTTGACTGCTTTGACATTTTGATAAAATCCTCTCAAAACATTTCATAACGTGAGAGGTCAGTACCACTGGTTAATAAGTACAGTTGGATTCTTGATTTTTGGCACAGGAATAATAATTGATTTGAAACACTTTGAGGGATAAAACCACCGCGACTGTTTAAAACTAGTTTATAAATTCGAGTAAAAATGGGGGGGGGCAAGTTGTTGGCATACCGTCAGGGCCATAGGCTTTATTTACTTTGGTCCTCGCAAATATCTGACGAACATTGTGGACATCCACAACAAGACTGATATGTCATCAGAGTCCTTTGCCATACATTGCAGGGATTGCACAGTACAGTCATTATCAGATAAAAATTCACGTGTATTAAATCTACATGTGTACATGTATATCAATCTCCCCACAGTGGCGGGGAGAAATCGCATTGGCCAAACTGTATACTCACCGATCGAAACGGGCGGAAAAAACTTGCTGCGACGCTGATCAACCCCGAGTGCAATGTGGGCCTTGCGCAAACCAAACTTTCTCTTTTATGAGGCTGTAAACACGGTCGAATCCGGGAGGGAAGACAATAAATCGCCGGATGAGGAATTTACTAGGGACGCTTATAATAACACTTTTCCTAGAACTCTGCACAGGGTTAAACAAATAGGTGCAAAAATAGCAATAGCAAAAACTTCACGAGGTGAAGCCGAGTGAAATGGAAAACTCTATAGACTTTACCGAGCGATAAGGCCAAAAAAAAAAGTCTCCGGTTTCTGGTATGGAGCTTACCCAAAAAGTGGTGCGGCGACGCGGCTTTTTTTTTTTTTTTACCTGATTTTTTTTGCTTCAAATGTCGGCTGATGACTGCAAATGGTGCCCGACTAAACTTAGTGCAAATATATGGTCCAGAGTCCAGAGAGGCCACATAAAGCTTATTCTCGACCATAACCCAATCTAAAAACACGTTAAAATTGTGCAGCAGCAGGATTCCAGTCAAACCAGTGAGTTTGGCGGTTTTGAGACATCATCTTTCATTGAAAAAAAAACTTTTTCATTTTGCCGACGCGCATGGCTACGGCGACGCGCGCGCATACCAGAAACCGGAGACTTTTTTTTTTGGCCTAATATTCCTCCAATTTCACAGTTTAAAGATACTCAGTATTTGTTAGATATATCAAAAAGACCTCAATTTTGCTTTAAAAAAAGAGTTATGCGGGGGAGGGGAGGGGGAACACCCAAAACCCTTAGCGACACCCAGGTGTATTCAGTTGGTGACCGAGTCTCTAAATGTGTCTCACATTATCATGGGCGTCGCCAGGATTTTTTCTAGAGGGGGCAAAATTTATTTTTCCCAAAAAAGTGCATATATTTCTCAACATATTCTCAATTTATCAGTTTTAGAGGGGGGGCAGAGACATTTTGCCCCCCCCATTAATTGTACACCACTTTGACTTCGTGCCTCTTTTTCTTTTCTTTTTCTCTCTTTTTTTTTTCTTTTCTACTTCTTTTTTTTGTGTTGCTTTTCGGGGGGGGGGGGGGCAAGTGCCCCCCGAGCCCCCCCCCCCCTCGCGACGCCCATGCACATTATGGGGGGGGTATTAACACCCCTATTTGCTACGCCCAAAATAAATAGAAAAGCAAAACCAATACGTTTTTATGTTCATTACCCCCTTGAAGAAATTTAATAAGAAAAACAATTACAAGTAGCAATATTAAACATGAATGATTAAAAATATAACTGAAGTTGAAGACAGTATATATATAGCCTACAGAATATACTCAAAAATATATAAAACTACAGATGTTTTACAGATCAAATTAAGTCAAATTTGACTAAATGCATCTATTCCGGCTGGACCTGAAGACGTGATAATGTTTGCAGATAAGAGGATTGAAAAAAAAAACTTTGTCAATAAATTCACAGAAAATTATGTTACGGCTCAGGATATGTAAACATAAAGATTTTTCGAGAAAAAAAAACCCTGCTTTATACTCCACGGCGGTTTGTGTGGTTCGCTATGGCGTGCTGCGTTAAATAGCTGGTCTGAATTCTGTGGGTGCCAGGTTCGAAACTTGGAGAGAATTTTGCATTTTCATCCCCACCCCCCAAAAAAGTGAATTTTCTTTCCTAAATTGTGTTTAATCAAGTCCCGACGATCGATAAATTAAATTGTACTCTTATGTTCTAATTCATGGTTCCAGAGTTAAGCCCCGAGAACCGTTTCGTTACCAACTGACGCAGCGCATACATTGGGCAAGTTCGCGTGTAAGAACTATAATTGTTAACCATAGTTCGACTAAGTTAGCCCTAACTCTGTCTAGTCGACGATGGTTGGACTACGGTAGTCGACGATTTGGAACCAGCCTACTGCCGGGCCCGCTGGTCGCATCGCTGGTCATCAATAGCCTCGTTTCGTGCGTTAAGGTGCCATGTCGAAATGAACGTAGCGAGTTGAACTACCCGCTGGTGGGCCTAGGAGATATCTTCCGGTTCGTTCAACAGGTCAAAGAACGTTAACGATCCAAACGTATTCGTGACCGCCATAATGTTGACAATGGTTCACCGTCGTTCGTACTTTAATGTTACAGCGCATGCGCACTGTTTGACACCCACCAACCACTGGTTGACTAACTGTTGTTGCGCGAACTTGCCCTTGGTGGCAGAAAAATGTAATTGCATCCCAGCCGGTAGTGCCAATGAATGGCTAATTCGGCCCCACGCATTTTGTAGATGCCACTTGCATGAAAATAATCCCGGCCATAGGCATTCTGTATCGATTGAATGGATTCTGTGCGGTTTTTTTGCCATCTTTACGATGGCTTGCCTTGTCCTTAAAAAAACACACGGCCACAAAAATTGTAATCACTTTTACTGAGTAAAAAGCAGTATTAATTCTTATAAAATTGCAATTACATGCCAGATAGAAAATGATTACACAACTATAGAGCGCGATATTTACAAGCACGACCTCAATAAGCCTACTAATGACGTCACACTTTATTTACGTGTGCGCTTTTCTATGGGGCTACGAAACCGTCGTCCCCACCTTGCTCCCGCGTAAACACGTGTAAACAAAGTGTGACGTCATCAGTACATAGGCTTATTAAAGACGCTTCACTTGATTACATTTTGATGAGGACTGATTCGGCTACAACCGATTCAGTTGGACGCCATAACGGCGCTCTAAAACCAGCGGTATCGCTTATGGTTCAAAATTCACAAAACATACCGCCATGACTATTGGATATTTTTAACCAGTCGGTGAAGTGTTGACCCCCTGGTCACCAATCCAAATTCATCCAATGAGAGCTCGAAGAAATTAGCCGATACCAACACCTACAGACAATGGGCGGCGAGTATTACGATCTAACAATCGTTGTCACTGGAACTGCTGTTGCTATTAGCTCGTGCCATCACGAAATATTGTGGTTGAGTTGATAGAGTAGCATCATTACTCGAAGTACTCTTTGCCAAGTACCAACCTAAAAGAGAGAGGGGAAACTATGTGAAGATGTAAACAAAAAGTAAAATCCCTCGGAAGTAATTTAGGAAAGGCCTAGCCGATCAAAGGTGGTGAACTAAACAGGGTGGTGGAAAAGAAAAGTGTGCATATCGCAAAAGGGACTGGTCTACGAAAACTAGACCATTTAATATCATGTTGCGGCCATTTGGATTTTTTCCATTCAAATCAACATATAATCGAAGCGAGGCTGGAAGGAAAAATAGTCTGGTTCCTTTTCGCACAAAAACTATTATCATTCAGTACTGTTATTAGATACAGGGAACATGCTTGAAATGGAGACAGCATGATAACGGTTTATTGTCTACAATTTACCAGTGCTAGGGAGCGACCACTTAGCAATGTACCAATCACCAATACACTATACTGTGTTTTAATAATGGCAAAATATCAAACCCTATACCACATGGTCATGAAATACATGTACAATAGCGGAATGTTTACTCAGTTGATTAAATGCAATCGTCACTCAGTTGGGAGAGGCCTAGTCTGAACACAGATTCAACAATGGCGGATCTTTTAACCCTCGGAGCAGAGTGACCAAAAAATCACACCGTAAAACCACATGGAGAATTTTATCACCACACTGTTTCTTGGTCAATAACCCCCTCGTGCAAAAGTTATAGGCAGGTCACATGGCCTTTGTGTGGGCCATGGTTGTTTACGACCTGTCTGAGCTCTGGGCGGCACGAGGAGTTGACACAGAGAAATCGGCGGCACAAAGGGGTTTGCCACTAAGATCTCCAATTACTGCACAAAGGCATTAGGCGCCTCTTGGTGCGGCTGTCTTTCAACACTCCTTACTCGGCAGTGGTTAGGGTCTGGCCAATGGGAGTCTACAGGCTTGTTGTGTATAACGGGGATGAGGATTACATATAATCTTGGCCTTATTGGCCCATTAAAAAAAGTTATGACCATATTTGGAAAAGGTGGAGAATTTTATCACCACGTGGCCACACCGAGGGTTAAAAGGAGGCGAGTACATAATATACCTGTTTGCTCGATGCTCTGAAGAGAATTTTCACCGGTACCAGAAACGTTCATCTTTAGGTACCAGAAACGAGGGTCTAACGGAACGTCGTTTCCCAACAAAGAATCTGGGAAATCCTACACAAAGACACAGGGTTAAAAGTATGATTATGACGTATATGATATACCTGAGATGACCAAGGAAAGAGCGCAACCCTCACAGGGACAAAACAAATATGATACCAAAAGACGGCATTAGTCACAAGAAATTTGAAAACAGAGCCCGTAAATTGCCATGGATAAAAAGAAGCCTAATTATTAAAATGTCAAAAACTGAAAACCGAAACAAAATATGGTTTAACACGTGGGGTTCTACTTCGTGGTGTCGGTGACCATGATTGTGCTCGCTGATGCCCACTCGTCTTAAAACTATTACGGAGTATAATAAACATTGCCGTGGAAGTTTGCAGGGACTACATTGGAGTATTTACCCCCTCCCCCTTATTATGTATTGTAACGAGTGCCCTTATTGTGTGCACAAGTGACCTTTTTACGAGCGCCCTTTTTAAGGAGTGCCCTTTTATTAACCTTTCGACTTGCGCGAACTTCGACAACATTGTCGCTATCAAAAGCGCCATCTATTGTCCGATAGTGTCCATGCTCGTCCGCCTTGCACGGCTCCCATAAGAGGGACTTTTTCTCGTCTATTCCTCCCCCTCCACGTCGCCCCACCCCACTCCCAATAAAAATGACCTAGCAGCTGCGCAACTGAAGTAGGCTTACCATCGCATCTAACGTGGGATCGGCACCAGATTGTACAACTTCAGCCGCTGGCGTGGTAGAGGCGGTCACTGGTTGCTCGAATTCTTGCAGAGAGTACGCGACCACAAGGCCGTCATCTGGTGGTCCTGGACCGACGTAGATATAGAAGTAGAACAAACCTGTCACAGAAAAAAAAATGATTCTGAATGGTGCATGAAAAGTGGCTGTTGCAGCTGGTCTCATAATCGCTGGTTTTGTTCACGGTGCTGCCGCTGCTGATGCTGGATCTACTTACTTGTTCTATTGTTGTATGTCGACGAGAACTCCACTTTTCCGTCGTCAATGCTCAGATAAAGTGCTGGGTTTCCCCTGAGATATATATTGTAGGCAGGGGAGGGTACTCCAAGCCAGCTATACCCGGTCTCCAGTGGACCAGGATTTATCCATGGCATGACATCTTCAGCCGTCTGAGTCAAGTACAGAATACGCACCTCCGGCTGGTTTTCTTTGGTACACACAACACAAGCAAATCATGGGGAAAAACTCAGATAACTGGCCAAAGAAAACAAAAATCGGCTAAAGAAGAACATCAATCCCTTTTATCAAGCCTTGTTTATAAACAAGGGTGTATAGTCATTAAAGAAATAAAAGAAGTTTTTGAGGCTGAATGCCAATGAAAGGACGCTCCTGAGCGACGTTCATCATGACAATTGTGCTATCATAATAACACACAACTATGTATATCACATAATATGTGATCCACAGTGCATTGTACTGGACTTGGCGCGTTATGATTCTTTCGGATTTTCGTATATTTACCGGGTGTTGGCCCCAGTCTGATCACTATATATCTGGGGGTATAAACGGAGCCTACTCAATAGGTTCCCCGACGCATCGGCAGTTTTTAATTGTATTTCAGATTTAGCATGGAGGTCCAATTCGTTTGTGAGACCAAAGTTTGTTAAATTAAACTATTTTAGACGCTAATTAAAAGGACTAAAATGCAATCGGTTTGTTACTATTTCGATTTAAAGACAATTTTCAAGATAGCTATGATTTTTAATTCGTGCCTGAATTCAGGAAACCGAATTATAATAGGGTTTTACCATTTTCCACGACAACTTCGAAGTAAGTCCACACGAACTCGTGATTATCTTCATCTAACTGGCGCTTAACGGTCTGTAAGAACAATAACCAGAACGTTGCTGCATGAGAGATAGCCTTGGTCGTTGTTTTTCGTCCCGTTTGGGCAATCAATCGGAGGCATATCCTCGCGCGCTATGCAGTGCATATAAAAATACAGCGCGAACAACGATCTAATGCGGCCACTATTTTAATTCGATGTTAGACAAAGCATTACGTGACTTGATGGCTCTGCTGGAATAAACAGACAATAACTTTAAGTCTACGTATACGTGTGCGGAAGTTAATCCAAGAAATAATCACCCTTTATAACGGTAGAATCTGTCAGGACTCACCAAAAGCAGCTTGGGCTTCACTTTTTCACGGAGAAGGTCCAGGAGATATTGGACTTGGTACCCCTCGATGTTTGTGCCGTTGATGTCCACGAGAACGTCGCCATCGCTAGTATGTAAAAAAAAAAACTGCTTCATATTGGCGTTCAGCTGTTCGGGCGTGGACCATTATACAAGTACAGTGTAGTCGACTTTTGGATGTTCGTGAGGTAACTCACGCATGCGCACTAATAGCAACTATAGTAAATAGCAACGATGGTCAAAAATGTCATCACAAAACGTCTTTATCCCCTGCTGTGCATGATGATGCGCGTGATTATTTAGCCTATTTGAAGTATGGCAGATTGGGCAATTTGTCTTTTGAATAACCAAAGGAAATAAAGCCCTAGGCCTATTTAGATCCGTCTCGCATGACGTCACTTCCTACAGATTGTCACGCGCATCGGTATTTTGCGCGCTAAATGTTCGTGACGCGCGCGTATCTCAAAGAAACGTCGAGCAACACGTGCGCGTGCTTGCTAAACATTTTTGCCCACCGCGCGCACGAGCGCATGCGCATGCACCTGAGGCGTTGAATACGCAGTATTATGTTTGTACAAAGATTGCGTCCTTTGAAAGGGGTCTATATGCATTGATCCACTGATCTCTATAGTCTTTATATAGAGATCAGTGCATTGATCTGTAGGCTTTACGTGGTAACCAGCGATGGTGCTTTACCCTGTTGTACCTTCGACTCGGGTCATTGTCAGCGTCCAGACTCCAAACCGGTCTTAAACATCTTGTTTAAAACCGGCCAAACATTTTTTCCCCCTTATTTATAGTTGTTACGTACTAAATTCCTGCGTTGCGAGCCAGGCTATTTTCCACCGTCTCTGACAGTACGAATTTCCCATCGATGTCATCAAGTCGCACCCCGAAGTCCACCGCTTCACCTGGCTTATGTGGGTACGGAAGGTACACTTCTCCGCCGACGACTCCCTAAAATAATTGTAAACCTCAAATTGTTTCACATTAATTGATTTGCAATAAAACAAATATAGAAATACAAATATAGAAACGGCAGCCCCCTCTCTGCTGTCTTATATTGAGGGGATAAATAGAAAGAAAACATCCTTAATTCATACCATGGCTTAGCACAGACAAACTCGTTTTCAATGCTAATCTGAATTTCGTTCATAAAGGCCATTTATTTTGATCGCTGTAGCGGCGTCATTTTTCGTTGACAAACGGCAGAAATACCCTCGGAGGCGCAGATCCAAGGGGGTGGTTTAGGGGTCCAAGCCTCCCCTAGCTTTGTCAAAAAGTTGTTGTTTTTTTTCATAGAAATTGATAAAAGAAAATAATGTTACCCCCCCCCATGCTCTGACATCCATAAACAATCATACTGTATTAATATAGGCCTGTGCCCAAAATACAGACAGAGCCTGTTAAGGAGGTCTTTGTACTGTCCTGTAAAAAGAGTGTTAGTAATCGTCGGATTTAAACAACGCCCCATTAAAACTATGGTACGAGCCCCCCCCCCCCTTCCCCTCCCACCCCACCCCCACCCAACACCTATTTATTTACGGAGCCAAGTGTCCGCACTAACGAAAGCTGTCTACATGTCAGCATTGATTTGCTGTGAACCCCCCCCCCCCCTGCAAGAAATCCTGGATCCGCCCCTGAATACCACTTTATTGAAACATTTGATCCAATAATTCAATTTAAAACAAATTCGTGGGGGGGGACTTAAACTTACCAACTTCTTCCCATGACCACTGGGCTTATCAGTGCCGTCTTCTGTCTTTGATGCTGCGCCTATGTCCGTCAACTCGGCCGCGCCTCCTTGCGTATCTGCAACCGAGAGAAACCTACTTTGTGGTCTAGGTACAGCTATTTTTTTTTTCTGTAGCCAAGTTTGGTCAATGACCACAATGCGCACGCGTCAGATGTAAATAATAGAATGGTTTCCACATAGACTTTACATCTCTTCAAAATATTTTCAGGACCATTAATCAGAAGAAAAAAAGAAGGACTTTTTGAAAGTTGATTATTATTTTTTTTTTTTAATGAAAAATAATCTCATGTGGGTGGAAAACACGGTGAATTCATATGGATTCAAATCTGCGGCATTCAGTATAAACTCCCCCCCCCCCCAAAAAAACCACCCAGCATTAACCACAAGGCTATATGGTGATGCTTTGAAATTCGTTGGAAATCTAAACATTTTCGGGTCATGTCAAGCGTCATATTTATCAAATAAATACTTCAATCTCGTGCTATACGTGTCCGTATTTTGTAAGTGACTGCACTCTGGTTCCCGAAGCAAACAATCCTGCCTTTATGTACTTGTGTAAAAGCATTTCTCGAAAACTAACAAAAAAAGCCAAACTTCGGATTTCGTAAGCTGGAAAAATGATGAAAAATTCCCCAAAATATGATTAAATTCAAATCAGTCTGATCGTCCGTGAGACAACCAGTGCACCTCTTAAGCGATATGATACTTGACTATACTTGAAATACCTCGTTCGATTTTTAATAATTGAAGGGAAAAAAATTGATATTGGCGGCTTTCATACCTTGCCGTTTCCCAAAACAGGATCCCATGTCGCACCGTCAGTCGTTCACGGTTGTCCTCTATGCAGTCCCCTTTCCCTGCCTAAAAATGGTAACAAGAAATAAATCTACGGTCGCGTTTCGTTGTTTTTTTTTGCCAAAATATACGCTTGTATACCCTACGCCACTCGACGGGTTTGTCGCGAACACTGTGTGACAAAAAGGACCGAGCTCAGATGGAATGTCAGCCTATTGTCCCGCGGTGAATGGCTTTTTGTGCTTTTCCTGGACCGCTCATAAATCATTGAATATTGGTGCCAGTATAATAGTCAACTTACAATGCATTGCAAGTTCGTGCAGGAGCTGCACACGCGAACGGGGATAACATCTGCAGTAGGTATTAAATGTGTAATTTTTTGGAGTAAAATAAACAGAACTAATTGTCCAGTGGAACGTCGCTATACCGAACACCGCTATACCGAACATCCGGCTATATACCGAGCAAACATCGTCTTTGGCTCCCGATTTTTGTGCACAAAACGTACTGAATATCGTTGTTGAAAAATATAAACAGAAAGTGGCAAGTGGCTATTATTCCCCCAAGGGATAGAAGGGGAAAGCCACCTATTGCCGTAGGTATAGTAAGCTCAAAAATTGTGTAATTACATAATTCAATTGTCAGCATGATTTCAAAGTCGTCTTTCAGTAACTACATGTACATGTACATGTACCAAGGCATGCAGGGTGAAATTCTGAAGGGTGCCATTTATTGAAAACTGAGTACCGGAGCACCGCCAACTTAAAATCGCTATACCGAACGATCGCTATTACGAACAATTTGTGTGGATCCCGCGGTGTTCGTTATAGCGGCGTTCCACTGGTATCTTCCTGGGCTATAAGAATCTATCTGCCAAGCAAGATCAGTGCTTTGGACCAGTCGGTCACGATCTTGTCCAAAATTGGATCTATATAATCCGCTTTACTATAATGTGCTACTCTTGGAACCTAAACGATTACTTCAGTGAACATTTGGAATAAAATGTCCGCCCCAAAAAATGTCATTATGTGTTCCTTTGTCTCTGCGAAGCATTCCACTAGTTATTCCACAAATCGGAGAGAAATAGCATTGGCAGAACAGTACTTACCGATCGATACGGGCGGGAAAACTTGCTGGAGTGGTACGGCTGACTATACCCCGAGTGCAAATGTGGGCCCTGCGCACTGAAGCTACAAAATACTACTCAGTAGTAATTCTGTAGTATGCATTCTCTTCGTACAAGTGTGCACAACCCATATAGTATTCATTGGTATTTGGGTTAGGGTTAAACATGGTCGAATCCGGGAGAGGAAGACAATAAATCGCGGGAGGGGGAATTTCGGTACGCTTAAATATAACTTTTCATAGAATTCTGCACAGGGTAAATTTTAAAAAAAATGGTGCAAAAATAGTAACATTCACCACTAAACCGGAACCAAATTGAATAGGATTGGGAAGCTTTTCTTGATAGCAAATTCACAGAAAATTTATTTAGGTTCTGTAATTATGTACAAACACGACTGGGGTGATTCCCTTGGCCACAAAGGCTTGGGGATAGTCGGTCTCCTTGCTCAAGTTTTCCACACTGTCCAACTGTGAGACTCTGAGAAACCAGACATTGATACAAAAACATAACTGAATTTGGAGACAGTAGGCCTACTGTATCTATACAGAATATATGAAAATGCACAAAACTATTTGGCAGGTGAAATTATAAATGCAATTTGACATAGTGCATCTACTTTTGCTGTCAAAATGTCATGTTTGTACATTATAAGAGCCTTCAAAGACTGTTAACCCAATTTCAATCCACTGATCTTGTGGATCATTTGCACACTTTTAAATTAAACTTAGTCTTGGCCCAAGACGTCAGTGATCAAGAGCGAAAGTTGCATTGTTGTGTAGCGCCCTTGCAAAGCGTGTTTTTGTTAATTTCTCTCACAAACGACTTGGTCATTTCGTAGCAATGGGGCGGGGCCGTTTTATGTAGACAGTCTGTGCTGGGGGGGGGGGGCTTTAGCCCCCTAATATTTTGTCTAGTCCCCCCCCCCCCAAATGAATTCCGTAAAAAAACAAATTGCATTAGCAAAAAGAAGGATTGTGATGTACATGCGAACGGTCTCCCTAAAAAAAATAGTCGTGACAAGGATGCTTTAGACTGTCATTCCCTAACAATCCAGTAAGATATTTCGTGATAATTAGATCATTTCGTTTATTGATGTTTCATAAATGTTGTATCTTCCCTTTAACGTTAAAGGGGCAGTCGCTACAGTGTAAAAAAAAATTAGTAAAAGCAGATGTAATTTTTTTCAGTTATGGCTTACAATATGGAAGTCCAGTGGATATGCGAGTATTTTTTTGGGTGTACTGACAATATGACAGGGAACGGTTCAGCCTCGGCGGAGGTTGGCGCTCTCTGAGTGCTTCTAGTTTCAGGATACTTTCCTGGGTTTTCCTTCTGTCAGCTACTTGTTTGTTCCGCAGGCTTGCGACTGAGCTACAGTGTCATGATCGCTTTTGGGAAATCTGATCAGCGCAGTCCACTCTATTTCTCCACAATTACCACTACTTTACTTGGTTTTCAAAAGATCGGTGATTTGTTTTTTCCCGATCCATGGTTCTATTAGGGTAACTGTACCAACTGTAAGAAACTTTGGGAATTCGAAGTTCATCACTGTTTTGTCAAGACTAAGACCTTTTTGTGGATAAGGAACTTGAATTTGAGGCGGACTCGTTGATATGCCCCGCATCGAGGCAAAGGAACACAAGTTGACACATTGGCGAACATTCATTCGAAATGTTCACTGAAGTCATTTAGGTTTCGAGAGTAGCTATATAGTCAAGTGAATATAGATCCAATTTTTGACAAGATCGTGACTGCCTGGTCCAAAGCACCAATCTTACTTGGCAGATTTTTATAGCCCGAGAAGATATTTAGAAACGGTCGCACCGATCTTTTGGGGAGGGTGACTTATTTGCATAAATCGTAAATAGCTGCCGTACTGTAATATTGTATTTACATATTTTGGTGCATGTAATTTTTATTTTTAAAGTATGTTTTAGGATTCTGGTTACATAGGCTCTGCATGCATTACCTCACTCAAATGACATTTTATGCAGTACAACGTCGGGATGCCATTATGTTACGCGCATTTCAATATCATCAAGAAGGTTTTATGTTTTCTTGTCAGGTTACCAAAGTAACAAAATCAAAAGGTAATTAAGAATACTATGGATAAGGTTTTCAAGCGTAAAAAGGACTAAGCTCAGATATGCTCAGATGAAAGGAACGCAAACCTATATTGTCCTGCGGTGAATGGTGTTTGTGCTTCCATTTTTCTGGACCACTCAAATCATTGAATATCAGTCCCAATACTAGTCAACATACAATGTATTGCAAGGTCGTTCAGGCGCGCATGTGCAGACACATGAACGTCTGATAACCTCTGCAGTAGGTCACGCACATCAGTTAAAGGTAGAGTCCATCATTTGTAATTTGTGCATTTTGTTCGTTTGAAGCAATAAAAGAGTTCAAAATCTAATGAAGGATACTGAGCAACTAACCTGATGAAGTTTCAGCTAAGCTTCAGCTGTACATTCTGAGAAAAACAGCATTCTAAGATCTCAATTTCAAATCAAAAGTTGCTGAATCATGTTTTTGAATTGTTTTGAATTGCAACTATACGCGACGTCGCGCACTGATCCGACGAATTATAACAACAGCGCGCGCGTGTGCGTCGTTCGAATACTTGTGCGCGCTGCGCTGAATAACAAAACGAACTACTAATTTAAATTTTCCTACGGTGCTTCTTAAGAATCACCGTTGGAAATGCCTTCTTTCGTTGATTACTTCAAAATGACAGCTTCCCAGGAAGAATAATTTCACAGGGAGTTTAGTCTCCTTACTATCTTTCAACCAAGTTAGTTTTTCAACAATAATTACGCCAGTTACTTTTCGGATGGCTGCAAATGATGGACTCTACCTTTAAAGGGAATGCACAGCATTTGCTTTTGCTGCAATTTTCAGAAATAAATGGATTTGCAGGAGTATGTTATAGCAAATATTGTTACATTGACTTGTTTCACGTTTTGGGTTCGTAGATGCTGGAAAAACCAACAAAACCAATCATATTAAGTTCTTGTAGTCTGGTTCCCTGACCCCACTTAAGATGAAACCATTGATCTCCATATGAAACAGAGCAATTTATATACGCTTTACTAGGAATTGCAAGATCAGAGAATCAGCCAGCCTAGCAGGCTTGTAGTCTTCACAGGTGTGTAATCAATTGCAAAGAAAATGCAGACGAACTAAATATAAACCATTAGGAGCACTTGTTTGGAAAAAAGAAGCCAGTTTTCTCCAACGCTGTTCGGCCGACCAGCGTTGGAAAAATACAGCTTTTCTTGAAAATGCCAGCACACCAGGAGCCACAACTTTACATGATGCTTTAGACTGTCATTCCCTAACAATCCAGTAAGATATTTCGTGATAATTAGATCATTTCGTTTATTGATGTTTCATAAATGTTGTATCTTCCCTTTAACGTTAAAGGGGCAGTCGCTACAGTGTAAAAAAAAAATTAGTAAAAGCAGATGTAATTTTTTCAGTTATGGCTTACAATATGGAAGTCCAGTGGATATGCGAGTATTTCTTTTGGGTGTACTGACAATATGGCAGGGAACGTTCAGCCTCGGCGGAGGTTGGCGCTCTCTGAGTGCTTTCTAGTCTCAGGATACTTTCCTGGGTTTTCCTTCAACATTTGTTTTCTTTTTTTGTTGTCTGTCAGCTACTTGTTTGTTCCGCAGGCTTGCGACTCAGCTACAGTGTCATGATCGCTTTTGGGAAATCTGATCAGCGCAGTCCACTCTATTTCTCCACAATTACCACTACTTTACTTGGTTTTCAAAAGATCGGTGATTTGTTTTTTCCCGATCCATGGTTCTATTAGGGTAACTGTACCAACTGTAAGAAACTTTGGGAATTCGAAGTTCATCACTGTTTTGTCAAGACTAAGACCTTTTTGTGGATAAGGAACTTGAATTTGAGGCGGACTCGTTGATATGCCCCGCATCGAGGCAAAGGAACACAAGTTGACACATTGGCGAACATTCATTCAAAATGTTCACTGAAGTCGTTTAGGTTTTGAGAGTAGCTATACAGTCAAGTGAATATAGATCCAATTTTTGACAAGATCGTGACTGCCTGGTCCAAAGCACCAATCTTGCTTGGCAGATTTTTATAGCCCGAGAAGATATTTAGAAACGGTCGCACCGATCTTTTGGGGAGGGTGACTAATTTGCATAAATCGTAAATAGCTGCCGTACTGTAATATTGTATTTACATATTTTGGTGCATGCAATTTTTATTTTTAAAGTATGTTTTAGGATTCTGGTTACATAGGCTCTGCATGCATTACCTCACTCAAATAACATTTTATGCAGTACAACGTCGGGATGCCATTATGTTACGCGCATTTCAATATCATCAAGAAGGTCTTTATGTTTTCTTTTGACAAGTTACCAAAGTTACAAATGAAACAAAAGGTAAGAATACTATGGATAAGGGACTTACAAAAAAAAGAACCACAAACCTGTTGTCAACATGAAATTCCTTCAATTTCCTCAAGAAATATAATCTTTGATTTGCTTTACCTGCCACAGACTTGCAGTTGTCAGTCCGTGTAAGTTTATTATCAATCACAGTCCCCCAAGTACTTGTACTCAGACACTTGCTGATAGGATGATCGTGAATATCCGGGTTCATTGACAGCTGCCGATCGACGGAAGTCAAAGGTCATTTCCGTTGTTTTGTTTACATTGAGGACTAGATCATGATGATCACACCATATGTACCAGCTAGTCTACACATTTCCGAACTGTGTTAAAATACTCGGATGGATCATCATGCAAAAAAACTACTGATGACTGTGTGGTCTGCATATTTAATTATACTGCAGTTGGGGCTCAGATTATTAAAATCACTAGTATAACAGAAATCACACAGCCAGATTCCCTATTAATTCACTTTACCCTCTGTGGCCTGTCAGTAAGAAAACCGTGCATAAGGCCAAAAAAGTCTCCGGTTTCTGGTAGGGAGCTTGCCCAAGAAGTGGTGCGGCGACGCGGCTTTTTTTTCTTTTTTTTTACCTGATTTGCTTCAAATGTCGGCTGATGACTGCAAATGGTGCCCGACTAAACTTAGTGCAAAATATATGGGAGCCCAGAGAGGCCACATAAAGCTTATACTCGATCGTAACCCCATCTAAAAACACGTTAAAATTGTGCAGCAGCAGGATTCCAGTCAAACCAGTGAGTTTGGCGGTTTTGAAACATCATCTTTCATTGAAAAAAAAAAACGTTTTTATTTTGCCGACGCGCATGGCTACGGCGACGCGCGCAAACCAGAAACCGGAGACTTCTTTTGTGGCCTAATCAATGCAAGTGTGGTGTGACATTCAAATTCAGCAATTTACTAGTTAAAATATGTGGAACAATAGTGCTAAACGCACTCGAGAAGGCAATAAAAAGTGATCTAACAAAGGACCTGGGCACGTCTAAATGAGTACAAAGTTTTTGGAGATACGAAGCGGCTACACCTCTATTCTTTTGATATGCAAATTGAGATGAATCAAAGTGACCAACTTGACTGCTTAGACATTTTGATAAAATCCTCTCAAAACATTTCATAACGTGAGAGGTCAGTACCACTGGTCAATAAGTGCGGTTGGATTCTTGATTTTTGGCACAGGAATAATAATTGATTTCAAACACTTTGAGGGATAAAACCACCGCGACTGTTTAAAACTAGTTTATAAATTCGAGTAAAAATGGGGGGGGGGGCAAGTTGTTGGCATACCGTCAGGGCCATAGGCTTTATTTACTTTGGTCCTTGCAAATATCTGACGAACATCTTGGACATCCACAACAAGACTGATATGTCATCAGAGTCCTTTGCCATACATTGCAGGGATTGCACAGTACAGTCATTATCAGATAAAAATTCACGTGTATTAAATCTACATGTGTATATCAATCTCCCCACAGTGGCGGGGAGAAATCGCATTGGCCAAACTGTATACTTACCGATCCAACCGGGCGGAAAAAACTTGCTGCGACGCTGATCAACCCCGAGTGCAATGTGGGCCTTGCGCAAACCAAGCTTTCTCTTTTATGAGGCTGTAAACACGGTCGAATCCGGGAGGGCAGACAATAAATCGCCGGATGAGGAATTTAGGGACGCTTTAAATAACACTTTTCCTAGAACTCTGCACCGGGTTAAACACAATAGGTGCAAAAATAGCAATAGCAAAAACTTCACGAGGTGAAGCCGAGTGAAATGGAAAACTCTATAGACTTTACCGAGCGATAATATTCCTCCCATTTCACAGTTTAAAGATACTCAGTATTTGTTAGATATATCAAAAAGACCTCAATTTGCTTAAAAAAAAGAGTTATGCGGGGGAGGGGAGGGGAACACCCAAAACCCTTAGCGACACCCAGGTGTATTCAGTTGGTGACCGAGTCTCTAAATGTGTCTCACATTATCATGGGCGTCGCCAGGATTTTTTCTAGAGGGGGCAACATTTATTTTTCCCAAAAAAGTGCATATACTTCTCAACATATTCTCAATTTATCAGTTTTAGAGGGGGGGGGGGCAGAGACATTTTGCCCCCCCCCCCCACCCATTAATTTTACACCACTTTGACTTCGTGCCTCTTTTTCTTTTCTTTTTCTCTCTTTTTTTTTCTTCTTTTCTTCTTTTTTTTTTTTTTTTTGCTTTTCGGGTGGAGGGGGGCAAGTGCCCCCCTGAGCCCCCCCCCTAGCGACGCCCATGCACATTAGGGGGGGGGGGGGCGGTATTAACACCCCTATTTGCTACGCCCAAAATAAATAGAAAAGCAAAACCAATACGTTTTTATGTTCATTAGCCCCTTGAAGAATTTTAATAAGAAAAACAATTACAAGTAGCAATATTAAACATGAATGATAAAAAATATAACTGAAGTTGAAGACAGTATATATATAGCCTACAGAATATACTCAAAAATATATAAAACTACAGATGTTTGACAGATCAAAGTAAGTCAAATTTGACTAAATGCATCTATTCCGGCTGGACCTGAAGACGTGATAATGTTCGCAGATAAGAGGAGTAAAAAAACAACTTTTGTTTATATAAATTCACAGAAAATTATGTTACGGCTCGGGATATGTAAACATAAAGATTTTTCGAGAAAAAAACCCCTGCTTTATACTCCACGGCGGTTTGTGTGGTTCGCTATGGCGTGCTGCGTTAAATAGCTGGTCTGAATTCTGTGGGTGCCAGGTTCGAAACTTGGAGAGAATTTTGCATTTTCATCCCCCCCCCAAAAAAAGTGAGTTTTCTTTCCTAAATTGTGTTTAATCAAGTCCCGACGATCGATAAAATAAATTGTACCCTTATGTTCTAATTCATGGTTCCAGAGTTAAGCCCCGAGAACCGTTTCGTTACCAACTGACGCAGCGCATACATTGGGCAAGTTCGCGTGTAAGAACTATTGTTAACCATAGTTCGACTAAGTTAGCCCTAACTCTATCTAGTCGACGATGATTGGACTACGGTAGTCGACGATTTGGAACCAGCCTACTGCCGGGCCCGCTGGTCGCATCGCTGGTTATCAATAGCCTCGCTTCGTGAGTTAAGGTGCCATGTCGAAATGAACGTAGCGAGTTGAACTACCCGCTGGTGGGCCTAGGAGATATCTTCCGGTTCGTTCAACAGGTCAAAGAACGTTAACGATCCAAACGTATTCGTGACCGCCATAATGTTGACAATGGTTCACCGTCGTTCGTACTTTAATGTTACAGCGCATGCGCACTGTTTGACACCCACCAACCACTGGTTGACTAACTGTTGTTGCGCGAACTTGCCCTTGGTGGCAGAAAAATGTAATTGCATCCGGTAGTGCCAATGAATGGCTAATTCGGCCCCACGCATTTTGTAGATGCCACTTGCATAAAAATAATCCCGGCTATAGGCATTCTGAATCGATTGAATGGATTTTGTGCGTTTTTTTTGCCATCTTTACGATGGCTTGCCTTGTCCTTAAAAAAAACACACGGCCACAAAAATTGTAATCACATTTACTAAGTAAAAAGCAGTATTAATTCTTATAAAATTGCAATAACATGCCAGATAGAAAATGATTACACAATTACAGTACGCGATATTTACAAGCACGACCTCCATAAGCCTACTAATGACGTCACACTTTATTTACGTGTGCGCTTTTCTATGGGGCTACGAAACCGTCGTCCCCACCTTGCTCCCGCGTAAACACGTGTAAACAAAGTGTGACGTCATCAGTACATAGGCTTATTAAAGACGCTTCACTTGATTACATTTTGATGAGGACTGATTCGGCTACAACCGATTCAGTTAGACGCCATAACGGCGCTCTAAAACCAACGGTGTCACTTATGGTTCAAAATTCACAAAACATACCGCCATGACTATTGGATATTTTTAACCAGTCGGTGAAGTGTTGACCCCCTGGTAACCAATCCAAATTCATCCAATGAGAGCTCGAAGAAATTAGCCGATACCAACACCTACAGACAATGGGCGGCGAGTATTACGATCTAACAATCGTCACTGGAACTGCTGTTGCTATTAGCTCGCGCCATCACGAAATATTGTGGTTGAGTTGATAGAGTAGCATCATTACTCGAAGTACTCTTTGCCAAGTACCAACCTAAAAGAGAGAGGGGAAACTATGTGAAGATGTAAACAAAAAGTAAAATCCCTCGGAAGTAATTTAGGAAAGGCCTAGCCGATCAAAGGTGGTGAACTAAACAGGGTGGTGGAAAAGAAATGTGTGCATATCGCAAGAGGGACTGGTCTACGAAAACTAGACCATTTAATATCATGTTGCGGCCATTTGGATTTTTCCTATTCAAATCAACGTTACCAATAGCGAGGCCGGAAGGAAAAACAGTCTGGTTCCTTTTCGCACAAAACCCCATTATCATTCAGTACTGTTATTGGATACAGGGAACATGACTGAAATGGTGGCAGCATGATTTCCAGTGCTAGGGAGAGACCACTTAGCAATGTACCAATCACCAATAAACAATGTATACTGTGTTATACAGTATATAATGTGTTTTAAAAATGGCAAAATATCAACCCTATACCCCCATGGTCATGAAACACATGTACATAGCGGAATGTTTAGTCAATGGATTAATTGCAATCGTCACTCAGTTGGGAGAGGCTTAGTCTGAACACAGATTCAACAATGGCGGATCTTTTAAAAGGAGGCGAGTACATAATATACCTGTTTGCTCGATGCTCTGAAGAGAATTTTCACCGGTACCAGAAACGTTCATCTTTAGGTACCAGAAACGAGGGTTCAACGGAACGTCGTTTCCCAACATAGAATATGGGAAATCCTACACAAAGACACAGGGTTAAAAGTATGATTATGACGTATATGATATACCTGAGATGACCAAGGAAAAAGCGCAACCCTCCCAAGGACAAAACAAATATGATACCAAAAGACGGCACTAGTCACAAGAAATTTGAAAACAGAGCCCGAAAATTGCCATGAATCAAAAGAAGCCTAATTATTAAAATGTCAAAAACTGAAAACCGAAACAAAAATATGGTTTAACACGTGGAGTTCTACTTCGTGGTGTCGGTGACCATGATTGTGCTCGCTGATGCCCACTCGTCTTAAAACTATTACGGAGTATAATAAACATTGCCGTGGAAGTTTGCAGGGACTACATTGGAGTATTTACCCCCTCCCCCTTATTATCACGTCTATCCCTCCCCCTTCACGTCACCCCACCCCACCCCCAATAAAAATGACCTAGCAGCTGCGCAACTGAAGTAGGCTTACCATCGCATCTAACGTGGGATCGGCACCAGGTTGTATAACTTCAGCCGCTGGCGTAGTAGAGGGGGTCACTGCGTTCCCGAATTGCTGCAGAGAGTACGCGACCTTAATGCCGTCATCTGGTGGTCCTGGACCGACGTAGATATAGAAGTAGAACAAACCTGTCACAGAAAAAAAATGATTCTGAATGGTGCATGAAAAGTGGCTGTTGCAGCTGGTCTCATAATCGCTGGTTTTGTTCACGGTGCTGCCGCTGCTGATGCTGGATCTACTTACTTGTACTATTGTTGTATGTCGACGAGAACTCCACTTTTCCGTCGTCAATGCTCAGATAAAGTGCTGGGTTTCCCCTGAGATATATATTGTAGGCAGGAGAGGGTACTCCAAGCCAGCTATACCCGGTCTCCAGTGGACCAGGATTTATCCATGGCATGACATCTTCAGCCGTCTGAGTCAAGTACAGAATACGCACCTCCGGCTGGTTTTCTTCGGTACACAAAACAAGCAAATCATGGGGAAAAAACTCAGATAACTGGCCAAAGAAAACAAAAATCGGCAAAAGAAGAACATCAATCCCTTTTATCAAGCCTTGTTTATAAACAAGTGTGTATAGTCATTAAAAAAAATAAAAGAAGTTTTTCTGCTTTTTTTTTCAATCCGAAAGGATGAGGCTAAATGCCAATGAAAGGACGCTCCTGGGCGACGTTCATCATGACAATTGTGCTATCATAATAACACACAACTATGTATATCACATAATATGTGATCTACAGTGCATTGTACTGGACTTGGCGCGTTATGATTCTTTCGGTTTTTCGTATATTTACCGGGTGTTGGGCCCAGTCTGATATCGCTATATATCTGGGGGTATAAACGGAGCCTACTCAATAGGTTCCCCGACGCATTGGCAGTTTTTACCTGTATTTCAGATTTAGCATGGAGGTCCAATTCGTTTGTGAGACCAAAGTTTGTTAAATTAAACTATTTTAGACGCTAATTAAAAGGACTAAAATGCAATCGGTTTGTTATTATTTCGATTTAAAGACAATTTTCAAGATATCTATGATTTCTAATTCGTGCCTGAATTCAGGAAACCGAATTATAATAGGGTTTATTATATTACCGTTTTCCACGACAACTTCGAAGTAAGTCCACACGAACACGTGCTTATCTTCATCCAACTGGCGCTTAACGGTCTGTAAGAACAATAACCGGAACGTTGCTGCATGAGAGAGATAGCCTTGGTCGTCGTTATTCGTCCCGTACGTGGCAATCAATCGGAGGCATATCCTCGCGCGCTATGCAGTGCATGTAAAAATACAGCGCGATCAACGATCTAATGCGGCCACGATTTAATTCGATGTTAGACAAAAGATTACATGACTTGCCACGGTGGCCCTGTTGGAATAAACAGACAATAACTTTAAGCCTACGTATACGTATACAGAAGTTAATCCACGAAATCATGTTCGTTCCCATCACCCTTTATAAAGGTAAAATCTGTCAGGACTCACCAAAAGAAGCTTAGGCTTCACTTTTTCACGGAGAAGGTCCAGAAGATAGTGGACTTGGTACCCCTCGATGTTTGTACCGTTGATGTCCACGAGAACGTCGCCATGGCTAGTATGTAAAAAAAAAACTGCTTCATATTGGCGTTCAGCTGTTCGGGCGTGGACCATTATACAAGTACAGTGTAGTCGACTTTTGGATGTTCGTGAGGTAACTCACGCATGCGTACTAATAGCAACTATAGTAAATAGCAACGATGGTCAAAAATGTCATCACAAAACGTCTTTATCCCCTGCTGTGCATGATGATGCGCGTGATTATTTAGCCTATTTGAAGTATGGCAGATTGGGCAATTTGTCTTTTGAATAACCAAAGGAAATAACGCCCTAGGCCTATTTAGATCCGTCTCGAATGACGTCACTTCCTACAGATTGTCACGTGCATCGGTATTTTGCGCGCTTATGTTCGTGACGCGCGCGTATCTCAAAGAAACGTCGAGCAACACGTGCGCGTGCTAACTTAAAGCCCGAGTCCATCATTTGCAGCTATCCAAAAAAGTAACTGGCGTAATTATTGTTGAAAAACATACTGGTTGAAAGATAGTAAGGGGACTAAACTCCCTGTGAAATTATCCTTTCTGGCAATTAAGCTCTCATTTTGAAGAAATCAACGAAAGAAGGCATTTCCAACGGTGCTTCTTAAGAAGCACCGTAGGAAAATTTAAATTAGTTGTTCGTTTTGTTATTCGGCGCAGCGCGAACAAGCATTGGAACGACGCACAGGCGCGCACGAGCGCATGCGCATGCACCTGAGTCGTTGAATACGCAGTATTATGTTTGTACAAAGATTGCGTCCTTTGAGAGTGGTCTATATGCATTGATCCACTGATCTCTATAGTCTTTATAGAGAGATCAGTGCATTGATCTGTAGGCTTTACGTGGTAACTAGCGATGGTGCTTTACCCTGTTGTACCTTCGACTCGGGTCATTGTCAGCGTCCAGACTCCAAACCGCTCTTAAACATCTTGTTTAAAACCGGTCAAACATTTTCCCCTTATTTATAGTTGTTACGTACTAAATTCCTGCGTTGCGAGCCAGGCTATTTTCCACCGTCTCTGTCAGTACGAATTTCCCATCGATGTCATCAAGTCGCACCCCGAAGTCCACCGCTTCACCTGGCTTATGTGGGTACGGAAGGTACACTTGTCCGCCGACTTCCTAAAATAATTGTAAACCTCAAATTGTTTCACATGAATTGATTTGCAATAAAACAAATATAGAAATACAGCCAATGATTTTGATTTTGGGGGAAAGTCAATTTGGCACTGAAACGGCAGCCCCCTCTCTGCTGTCTTATATTGAGGGGATATATACAAAGAAAACATCCTTAATTCATACTATGGCTTAGCACAGACAGACTCGGTTTCAATGCTAATCTGAAATCCGTTCATAAAGGCCATTTATTTTGATCGCTGTAGCGGCGTCATTTTTCGTTGACAATCGGCAGAAATACCCTTTGGTTTAGGGGTTCAAGCCTCCTCTAGCTTTGTCAAAAAGTTGGTTTTTTTTCATAGAAATTGATATAAGAAAATAATGTTAACCCCCCCCCCCCCAATGCTCTGACATCCATAAACAATCATACTGTATTAATATAGGCCTGTGCCCAAAATACAGACAGAGCCTGTTACGAAGGTATCTGTACTGTCCTGTAAAAAGAGTGTTAGTAATCGTCGGATTTAAACAACGCCCCCATTAAAACTATGGTACAACCCCCCCCCCCCCACCCCCACCCCACCCCCGCCCAACACCTATATATTTACGGAGCCAAGTGTCCGGACAAACGAAACCTGTCTTCATGTCAGCATTGATTTGCTGTGACCCCCCCCCCGCAAGAAATCCTTGATCCGCCCCTGAATACCACTGTATTGAAACATGTTGATCCAATATACTCCAATTTTTTTTAAAAAAAAGTGGGGGGACTTACACTTACCAAATTCTTCCCATGACCACTGGGCTTATCAGTGCCGTCTTCTGTCTTAGATGCTGCGCCTATGTCCGTCAACTCGGCCGCCCTTCCTTGCGTATCTGCAACCAAGAGAAACCTACTTTGTGGTCTGGGTACAGTTTTTTTTTCTGTAGCCAAGTTTGGTCAATGACCACAATGCGCACGCGTCAGATGTAAATAATCGAATGGTTTCCACATAGACTTTACATCTCTTCAAAATATTTTCAGGACCATTAATCAGAAAAAAAATGAAATTTATTAAAAGAAGGACTTTTTGAAAGTTGATTTTTTTTTTTTTTTTAATGAAAAATAATCTCATGTGGGCGGAAAACACGGCGAATTCACTTGGATTCAAATTTGCGGCATTCAGTATAACCCCCCCCCCCAAAAAAAAAACCCACCCAGCATTAATTACAAGGCTATATGGTGATGCTTTGAAATTCGTTGGAAATCTAAACATTTTCGGGTCATATCAAGCGTCATATTTATCAAATAAATACTTCAATCTCGTGCTACGTGTCCGTATTTTGTAAGTGACTGCACTTTGGTTCCCGAAGCAAACAATCATGCCTTCTTGTGCTTGTATAAAACATTTCTTGAAAACTAACAAAAAAAGCCAAACTTCGGATTTCGTAAGCTGGAAAAATGATGAAAAATTCCCCAAAATATGATTAAATTCAAATCAGTCTGATCGTCCGTGAAACAACCAGTGCACCTCTTAAGCGATATGATACTTGACTATACTTGAAATACCTCGTTCGTTTTTTAATAGTTGAAAGGGAAAAAAATTGATATTGGCGGTTTTCATACCTTGCCGTTTCCCAAAACAGGATCCCATGTTGCAACGTCGATCGTTCACGGTTGTCCTTTATGCAGTCCCCTTTTCCTGCCTAAAAATGGTAACTGGAAATAAATCTACGGTCGCATTTCGTTGCTTTTTTGCCAAAATATACGCTTGTATACCCTACGCCACTCGACAGGTTTGTCGCGAACACTGTGTGACAAAAGGACCGAGCTCAGATGGAATGCCAGCCTATTGTCCCGCGGTGAATGGCTGTTTGTGCGTGAACTTTTCCTGGACCACTCATAAATCATTGAATATTGGTGCCAGTATAATAGTCAACTTACAATGCATTGCAAGTTCGTGCAGGAGCTGCACACGCGAACGGGGATAACATCTGCAGTAGGTATTAAATGTGTAATTTTTTGTAGTAAAATAAACAAAACTAATTGTCCAGTGGAACGTCGCTATACCGAACACCGCTATACCGAACATCCGGCTATACCGAGCGAACATCGTCTTTGGCTCCCGATTTTTGTGCACAAAACGTACTGAATATCGTTGTTGAAAAATATAAACAGAAAGTGGCAAGTGGCTATTATTCCCCCAAGGGATAGAAGGGGAAAGCCACCTATTGCCGTAGGTAGTAAGCTCAAAAATTGTGTAATTACATAATTCAATTGTCAGCATGATTTCAAAGTCGTCTTTCAGTAACTACATGTACATGTACATGTACCAAGGCATGCAGGGTGAAATTCTGAAGGGTGCCATTTATTGAAAAGTGAGTACCGGAGCACCGCCAACTTAAAATCGCTATACCGAACGATCGCCATTACGAACAATTTGTGTGGATCCCGCGGTGTTCGTTATAGCGGCGTTCCACTGGTATCTTCTTGGGCTATAAGAATCTATCTGCCAAGCAAGATCGGTGCTTTGGACCAGTCGGTCACGATCTTGTCAAAAATTGGATCTATAATCCGCTTGACTATAACGTGCTACTCTTGGAACCTAAACGATTACTTCAGTGAACATTTGGAATAAATGTCCGCCCCCCAAAAATGTCATTATGTGTTCCTTTGTCTCTGCGAAGCATTCCACTAGTTATTCCACGAGTTGGCCTCCTCGCAATAGCGAGGAGAGAAATAGCATTGGCAGAACAGTACTTACCGATCGATACGGGCGGGAAAACTTGCTGCGAGTGGTACGGCTGACTATACCCCGAGTGCAAATGTGGGCCCTGCGCACTGAAGCTACAAAATACTACTCAGTAGTAATTCTGTAGTATGCATTCTCTCCGTACAAGTGTGCACAACCCATGTCAGTATTCATTGGTATTTGGGTTAGGGTTAAACATGGTCGAATCCGGGAGAGGAAGACAATAAATCGCGGGAGGGGGAACTTCGGCACGCTTAAATATAACTTTTCATAGAATTCTGCACAGGGTAAATTTAAAGAAAATGGTGCAAAAATAGTAACATTCGCCACTAAACCGGAACCAAATTGAATTGTATTGGGAAGCTTTTCTTGATAGCAAATTCACAGAAAATTAATTTAGGTTCTGTAATTATGTACAAACACGACTGGGGTGATTCCCTTGGCCACAAAGGCTTGGGGATAGTCGGTCTCCTTGCTCAAGTTTTCCACACTGTCCAACTGTGAGACTCTGAGAAACCAGACATTGATACAAAAACATAACTGAATTTGGAGACAGTAGGCCTACTGTATCTATACAAAATATATGAAAATGCACAAAACTATTTGGCAGGTGAAATTATAAATGCAATTTGACATAGTGCATCTACTTTTGCTGTCAAAATGTCATGTTTGTACATTGTAAGAGCTTTCAAAGACTGTTAACCCAATTTCAATCCACTGATCTTGTGGATCATTTGCACACTTTTA